CAGCACGTTTTTCTTCCTGTCGATTTCTACACGCATTTAAAAGAAGAAAACAAAGAATAAAGACATACTAGTATATCACATATACCAATGTGTCTATCGCAGATATTCACCAGACGAACTTACCTCTTCTTGAAATAAAAAGTTAATCTTTTTGCGTTGACTGAAGGGATCCTATAATTTTGCCACCCCCTGTACTTGTATTCTACTAAAATGTTCACAGGAGAATTCAAGAATATCTTGTAAAATGAGACTGGATCAATATGGATATGATTTCAATTCGTAGCTCATACTGACATCCTCATCTAAAACATGAAAATAGTTATTGTGTGAATGATGATCTTTCTATGAAAAAATTCAAAATTAAACGATATATGATGGTTTTATACGTTAATGAGTTAATTAACGCCGTTAATTAAGTCGCGTTAAATTAAATGATCCACCCCTATGGAAAAGGCCGCTTGTACCAGCCGGTAAGGAATACTAGCCCGAACCGGACTGACCATTTACCGTTACCGGTTGCAACACTGCTACAAATGCAGGTTAATAGTTGGCATACCTTCCAATTGGATATCCATTTAAATACTATATTGCAATTAAAAATGAATTTTTCTGAAATTATTCTTTTAGGTCCGGGAACGATTCTGAACTCGCAGCAACCGTACCGGCCATTTGCAGATGTTATCAACTGTCAGGTAAGTATTCATTTAAATATGATCCTATGAGGAGTGGTGTTTTTGTCAGGACGTCCTGAGCACGCGCGCGCAAATGCATAGAAAGAGTCAAACAATTTCTTGCATTCATTCTAGTTCAACACCACTTCATCGCAACGCAAAATAAGTGCACATCAGGTGGATCAATTATCAGAAACCTTCAACACTGAGTATTTTCTCTTTTTTTCCTATGTCGTGTGTTTTGAATTTTAATAGTAAATATATATGTCGGAAAAAACAAATTCTTCTTTTATTTCAGTGTCAATCGATAGAGAAAAACATCAAAGAATATTGTTTAAGTTTTTTTTTCAATAGAGAATGTGAATGTCTCGTGTTGAGAAAATTAATAGAAAGAGAAAGCAAAAACAAATCACAATTCACGCGAGTCTATTGGAGAGAAAATTGTTGAATACGATGATTACACACATCGGCAACATAGAGATTCCCATATCGATCGAATGACAAACCACGAGGGTTGTTGAGCGCGGTTGCGTCTGAGTCATATCCACCCATGATGACCGTGACGTTTTTCGCTCCTTGAGTCCAACGCATTACACGATGATTGAACTGGTCTGCCACATAGAGTGTACCCAACGTATCGACGAAGAGCCCTTGAGGATGAGCCAATTGTGTCAGAGCGTTCCCTTTGCTTTGACCACCAGCGACGACAATGCCTTCTTTTGCACCTTTATTCCATTTCATTACACGATGATTTCCGTTGTCTGAGACGTAGACATTCTGTTGTCTATCGACAAAGAGATAAGTCGGCGATTTGAGTTGATTGCGACCATTACCTCTCCCATTTCCACCAGCCACAAGAGTCCCATTCTTGTCACCCAGTTGATATCGCATTACTTCATGTTTTTCGACATCAGAAACATAGAGATATCTCTGATCATCCATCGCCAATCCCCAACAATCGATGCTGTCCATGAGGATTGCTCCTTGTGTTGTGCCACTACGGCGAGACCATTGTACAACTCGTCGATTCCCCCAATCGCAAATAATGAGACTATCCGTCTCTTTGTCAATCAAGACATCAGTTGGCATATTCAATTGATCCAATCGACTTCCTTGGCCTTTGCCACCAGCAGCGACTTGTCCATTCATCGCATTATCTTTCTTCCATTGCATGATACGATGATTTCCGTAGTCAGCAATGACCACTGTTTGATCATCATTAACGAAGAGACCAAAAGGCCAGTAGAGTTGATTGGTGCCGTTACCTTGCCCGTAGCCTCCAGCAACAATCACACCATCCTGTGCCCATTCGGCATTCGCATGAATACTGGGTATAACTATAAGAAATAAATGAGATCTTCGTCACCTCTTGCTCACCGGGTAATATTAGAAATGTCGACATGGAAAATGTGAAAAGAGCTCTCAAGCAATCTTTACTAATATGATGTAGAATAGGGTGTTCAATGTTGGAATGATCTCATTTGAAAGTAGGAGAAGATTCAGAATGCCCTTGTCGATCTAGTAGCTTGTTTTTCTTGAATGAATTCAAGAAAATTCTTAAGAAATTTTTTGTTTACCAGGAAACATGAGCACATGGTAGAGGACTCTTCAAATGCAAAATTCAAATGAGTGTGGTTTTTCAAAAATTCTAAGAATGATACAAGAGAAGGATTTGAAAGGACACTAGTGAATTCTTGGATCTAGATTGAATTTTACTTCATTTTGACTAGAAGTGTTGCTTGTGAGAAGATTGTGTGGTCTAAATAACGAAAAATTAATTTCTTTTTTGCACCTTAGAAGAGCTCCCATGTTTTTGAAATCGCGTAAATTTTGATGATTCATCGCGATTTTCATAAATGTTAACGATTTGCCGTGAAAAAGTTTTGATTCTTTTAGTTTTGGCGATGTATCGCAATTAATCATTGATTTTTTCAAATGACACACGATGCATCAGAGATGGGCAAGTCAAGTCATTTTTGACTTAAAACCAGTCAAGTCAAGTCATTTTTGACTTGACTCTGACTTGACTAGGAAATTTTAAAAAATAACTTGACTTGACTCTGACTTGACTTNTTATTTTAAGCAAATCATGACTTGACTTGACTTGACTTGAAATTTTCAAAAAATGACTTGACTTGACTTGAGTCGGAAAAAAGGCTGACTTGCCCATCTCTGCGATGCATCATCATAAATCGCTGATTATTTCGACATTGATGATTCCTGTAAGAAAAATAACTATTTTGAAATGCGATGAAAATATTGTAAATCCCCTTAAATAGAAAGCAACTATTAGTTACATTGTTTAATTAAGACAGAGTTGCAACCGGTAGAGTTTTTTCTAGACCGGTACAGGTGTAAACCGCATCGGCCGACAGACCGACATGAGTCATAGTTATTTTTCTGATCGTATATGAGTCATGATTGACTTTTTTCATCTCATATCAGTTATAGCTTCCTCCAAATCACTACACACATTATTTAAGACTTCTCTTTCATCGCTAAAAAAATCTTCATACGACATGATTATAGATCGACTGTTCCATGGAAACTCAACCAAAACCCACAAAGTATCCAATTTTTTTTTGTTTTCATCTAGTTTTGTAGAGCTCGTTTTGCTGACCATTTTAGTATAAAACAAAATTAAAATTCATACGTAAAAAACTTTTTTATCGTGAAAATACTAAACCTGTTTTTTTATTAAAAATACCTTAGATTTTTCGATATTTTAGCCCTAGCGCAGTTATTTTTAGACTTTTTTCTCAAAAAAGTATACCGAAATGTTCAGCTTAATTACCTCTACAAAATAAGATAGTTTCAAATTACTTAAAAATATTTTTCAATGATTTGCTTCAGTAAATGCGCCAAAAAAAGTGGTCGTCTTCATCTAAAAATGGCAACATTCTGCTGGAATCCGCAATACATGCTTTTTGGAGAGCGAAACGTGTTATACAAAACCCGGTGTACCGTTTTTCAAATACTGTCAGAAACCTTGCTTAACAGTTCAGGGCAGAAACATATCAAGGTGCTCTCACACAACGCTGCCCAATTTATGCACGACACTCTCCCGGTACGATTTAACTATGCTAGTTTTGTAGTCCATGTCGAGTTGTGTATGAAAACATATTTTATTTGTCACACAACCATGCACTAAATCCTGCATAGAGTGCTCAAAACACGAATTTCTTCAAAGTCGTACCTAGAAATCAACAACTTTCGATTTTTTCGAAGATAATAGGAAAAGTTAATTGTGCCAGTGGATAGAGCATTCAAAGTTGTCTATGTGTCGTAGGCTTTAGATACGTACTAAAGAATTTTGAAGCACCGAAGTAAGTGCAAAAACTAGCAAAGTCCGATTTTTGCTAAAATCTGAAAGAGCAGCAGTCAAATTTTTTAAGAGTTCGAGTCATCATAATTTATACAATTCTAGGATGGAGAAGCTAATATTTCAACCAGAGGTAGTACTTATAGAGGGCTACTAGATGAAAAAAACTTCAGCAAATTCTGAGGTGTAGTGCTCGAGAAAATCGAAGCCCAATACACTATTTTCAGAAATCCTCGTTTTTTACAATTCGTAAATTTCGACTAAAGAATGTATTTTGAAAATCTAATCGAACTAATTTGTTAGGTGCTGGACTAACAGCGAGATTATATGACCACAGAACGGAGAAAAAGATAATCCTTTCGTGGGATTCGAACCACACATCCTCTACTATCCGGGTAGATGTACTACCGTTATACTAGAAAAGACAACTTAATCTCCGTTTAGAATTGTACAAGATCAATACAATTCTAACATAATTTGAATTGGCATTGACTAAGCTTCATTTTCTTTCCAATACATTATGTTCTCCAGGTACACATGAAGATTTTCTAGATGCCTCAATTTCAGGAAAAATCGCACTTTGCTAGTTTTTGGGACTACTCCGGTGCTTCGAGATTCTTTAGTATGTACCTAAAACCTGCGGCGTATAGACAACTTTGTATGCTCTATCCACTGGCACAATTAACTTTTTCCTATTATCTTCGAAAAAATCGAAAGTTGTTGATTTCTAGCTATGACTTTGAAGAAATTCGTGTTTTGAGGACTCTATGCAAGATTTAGTGCATGGTCGGGTGACACATAAAATATGTTTTCATACACAACTCGACATGGACTACAAAGCTAGCATAGTTAAATCGTGCCAGGAGAGTGTCGTGTATAAATTGGGTGGAGTTGTGTGAGAGCACCTTGATATGTTTCTGCCCTGGAGTGTTAAGCAAGATTTCTGACAGTATTTGAAAAACGGTACACCGGGTTTTGTAGAACACGTTTCGGTCTCCAAAAAGCATGTATTGCGGATTCCAGCAGAATGTAGCCATTTTTAGGTAAAGACGACCACTTTTTTGGCGCATTTACTGAAGCAAATCATTGAAACGTATTTTTAAGTAATTTCAAAAACTATCTTATTTTGTAGAGTTAATTAAGCTGAACATTTTGGTATACGTTTTTTGAAGAAAAACTTGATTCTATCTTCCTAGCTGGCTCCAAAGACCGTGGGAAACCTGCCTGTTGATACTCTCTTGATCTGAGGATAGAGATGTCGATGTCTAAAACGACTTGAAAGTTTTTAATAATGCTGACTTTCGCTCCCGGCATAATCTGTGATCTGCATAATGAAGTTCGCTAAAAGATAACAGCAAATACTCCCCATTTCTACATTTTGAGAAGCTAGACCAAAAGTGTCCTTTGTAAATTATTGGTTTTTACAGCGTTCAGTATTAAAATCTGTCGCAAGCTCATGAGTTTTGGTTCATTTCATTAAGACTACCCAGTAATTAAGACCCAATGGTTCAGTCTACTCCACTATGACTGACATCTTCAAGAGCAATGCAATTCTAGGGGTTTAATCTCATACAATATGAAATAAAATAGATTCATACTAGCATACTCTTGTCACATTTTGATATTATAATTGGAAACAGATATAAAGCTCTAGATCAGAGCTTTGACGGAAGTACATAGTATACAAAATGCAGAATAGAAGTAAATATCTTATAAATTACAATGATAAAGCGTGGTTGCATTTTTATTATACCATGGAACTTGATAGAGCAGTCATTTGATAGTATATTTAAGATCTATTTTGATAAATGTTTATTTAATATAAATAATCTACCTCGTGTTGTTTCGTAGAAATCATCATTAATGCCATAAAAACTAGCTTGATATGCAAAAATAATTTTAAAAATCTAGACCGGCCGGCCTGGGAAAAGTTACTTGTACCGACCGGTACACCTGCCGGTAAGGAACCCTAAACTGGGCCGGCCGTTCACCGTTACCGGTTGAAACTTTAGATCGTTGTACAAAATTAATTTGATAATTAGCAGAACTACGCACCTTGATATATTCACTTGCTCTATAAAAGGTATACATATTGGGAAAATAAAAATAGTACTAAATGACCAAAATCAATGATACTAGCAACTTTTTTAGAAGAGCTTTACAAAGAAAATATGAATATATTTGACTAAAAGGCATGCCACGATAATAAGATGTTTATGTACTTTTAACTAGAATAATCTGATTGCATACCATTTAGCATACTTATATTTTCCTATTTCGACGCATCTTTCGGCACTATGCACACAAAAGTGGATCCTATGTGATACGATAGAAAGAAGAATACAAAACTACTTAATAGGCTTTTCAAATTAATTATTGAATTTTATAGTCATTGATATAAACACGAAAAACTAAACAAAGATTATTTTATATCATCGTGAGAAAAACCTAGCCCTTCTATGTTGAGCTTCTTTAAATGATGTTGATATTACTACTGAAATCAGTAAACAAGACATTTTGATAATGAATGATCAATAGATTTAGACGTGCAATTCTTACTTTTCATTAATTTTTATCACTCAGCTTTTTTTTCATGTAAAACCCTACCTTTTGTTTTAGTTTGTGTATTTACTGAAATAATATTTCTAAATAGAAAGAATAGATTATCAAGTGTCAGTGTTTCTATGGTAAAAAGTTACTGAGGAATTGGGTTTGCTGGAGGTGGAACTTTTACGGTTGACGTCTAGAAGAAAAATTAAAGTTATTTGTATTGATAAATATTTAATAAATAATAATATTTACCAATGGTACAAGTTCAATCAGAGGAAATGGCGGTTGAATTTCTTTGAGTTGTATCATATAAAAATGTTTACCTTGTTTTAGACATCCTTCGACTCGAAATTGTCGTGCAGCTGGAAGAAGAATTTCGTGTTCAGCTTTATAGCAGGAGTATTTTTGAATATTTTTGCCACTATCACATTCAATTGTGAAGAAAGTTCTTTGACCTGTTGCACCCATAAATTGTTTATTATCCAGTACCTGAATCTTCGTTGTACAAGAGCTGAATCCCCACCAAACAAATGTCTTGCCTACTGCATATTCTTTGCTCATGTCCTGTTTAACACCGCGATAAACCGTCGCAGAAATAGACGGCAGTTGAGCCAATGCAGTAAGAAGTAATCGGAGGAAAAGAAACCAAGGTTTCAATGTTTTCCGATTTTCATTTCGTAAAGTTTTATTTAAAACATGATAAAGACACTCGTCTTGCGGCTCCCATTCCATTGTGTAGAGAGTAATCGAGGCTGCTTCATCAATAGATAGTTTTCCTGGTGAAAGCTCTGCACATTTCACTTTTGCAACGTAGACCTTTCGTCGCACATCAGGTACATATTCAACGATGGGTTCTACAGCCTCTTCGAGTGAAACAAGAGGCTTTTTCTCATAGCCTTCAATAGGCATCAACATTCGACAAGGCTCTCCCACTATATCAGAAAAACGTTGTGTAGAGTGTTGTTCATCAATATCGACGTATTTGGCAGCCATTTTTGAATTTGTAATTAGAATTTCTCAATTGAAAACTAAGAGAAAATTATTCATATTAGCTAGTTTAATCATAATCAGAAATATGCGTTTAGTAACAATATAGTCATGGATTAAATAGTATTCATCTCAATCCTATCAGTTCGGACACGGTGGTAGTAGAAATTAAAAGATAGATTCTTTTCAGACTTAACTAAGTTCTATGCAGTTTTAAATATCGATCCTATAGGATAAATACAATCAAATGGAATTTAGGGCAAATAAAAACGAGTGAAATTACAGATATACTTTTACAATTTTTCAATTTTTCAATCACATAAAGAAGCGTATCGAAATACTCGCGTATATCCTGTTTCGATTTACTATCGGGTCTGTGCTGAGTCTCAAAACCATTGTTTTGGTTCGTAGAATTCCATTCTCTCTCAAATGGTATCATTTATCTGGATGCCATTGTGCAAAGAATTTGGGATTGGTGTGCGACGTGACTGAGTCAGCGCTGGAACCGGTTCGGTAGAGACCGGGATTTCACCGGTTGAAAGTTTTCAGAATCTTCTTTGTTAACCCTATTTTTGACAATGAAAAGTAAGATTTCATGTTTTTCTGTCAGAATGCGCAAAAAAGTGTTCAAAACATAGTATTTGAATCATTCGTTCTGAGCTTCTCTTTGAATAGATTCAGTATAATGAATGTGTTCGATTGGAAACTTCATTCTTTATCGAATGGTAACAATTCATATGGATCATGCGTACCTGGGTGTGAGTGTTTCATGTCTTGAACTTGTCTATACTCCCACCCATGTCCTCACCCTGAGGAACCAAATCGAAAATGGTGCCATTCGATGAAGCATAAAATTCTTCGTTTCACCCAACTGATTAGAGAGTCAACGCAGATTAACTCGTGACTACGGTATTACCCTTACTTATTCAAAAATAAAAATGTCTTCTGCTTTCAAAATATTCCCAAAAGTTCACTCACCAAACTTAAACGGTAGAAATCAAAGTGTCCTTGAAAGTCGGAATCTTTTATCGAAAATAAAAATTTTGCTTGCTTCTGTTACTCGCTTCTTACACCATGCAAGCTGACAACATTTTTTGTTCTCTTTCAGCAATTTCTTTTCGTTTTTTTTTTCTGAATTGCTTTCAAGCATGAGTTTTAGGAAGACAAAGCCGTATAATCATTCGCAAAGCAGTAGACGACACATGATGAGAAAAAAAAATTTTAAATTTCTGACTTGTTCAAGGCATTCATATTATTAAATAGAGGGCTGAATGATGATATGAATTTCTGAAGTGAGAAAGTCATTCCAAAAATATTAACAAGAAATCTTACCAATTTATTTTAAAATGAATAACCTTTCTCTTCATTTTACAACGGAAAATCAGTGAATCAAATGCAGTAGTACAGTTTTATGAGGAAAGTTCTTTTCATCCGATCATACAGATTCAGTTTCATTTTGTTTTATTCCATTTGAGCACATCATCTTTCATTAGCAACGAAACTTCTATTGACACATGAAAAATGCTTTTGAAACCATATGATTTTTTCTTTTAGAAGACTTTAATAAAAGCACGTGGGTGAATGATTCGCCATGTTGAGTCATTCTATCCGTTCCCTGTCCACATCAGCGACTTATTCAACGTGGCTAGTCTATCTGACAACTATATATATAAGGATATTTAACTCATTAAGAACAGACAGTGTTACCAAAGTAGAAATCATGTCATTGAATTACACAACCGATGCTGAATATGACTATCTATTTAAAATTTTAATTATTGGTGACAGTGGCGTTGAGTATGTATTTCTTTCTTTTCTTAGTATATGAACATTCGCTTTCTTTCTTTTTAGAAAAACTACAATCCTACAACGATTTGCTCAAGATTATTATTCAACAGAATATGTAGCATCGATAGGCGTTGGTAAGTATTCTGAGGGTGTGGTTGTGGGTACAGGCCATTGAATTGACACGCACACCCACATCCTCACACACCCACATGTGAAGTTGGTTGCGGCTTATACCTATTCGGCTCGTCGATCACTACCTTACTGACGACAACACTACTTGCATTGAAATTTTGGATACTTATTTTCGCACAAATGGCTGATATATATCAAATCGAGTATTCTTACAAATTCATTGTATATCACTCAATTTTCTCTTACGAGTTTTTCTCACCATGGATCAATGGCTGAATGCATGTGTTGCTACTGAACGAGCTATTACTGTTATAAAAGCAACTTATTTTCACAAGGAAAAAAAGTAAAAGAATAGCTAAAATAATTATTGCTGGTCTTTTGATTTTTATGATTGGTACCTCTATTCATGATCCAGTTTATAGACGTATAATAGATGAACAGAATGACGATGAAAAACGAACCTGGTGTATTGTCACTTATCCTCGTGGTGTAACAGTATATAATTCTATTGTACAAACGTTTCATTTTCTTGCTCCATTCATGATCAATGTAGTTTCAGCTGTCATACTCATAGCAACAAAATCTCGTCGACAAACAGCTGTTCAAACTCGTCGAACCTATAGAGAGCTTTTACAAGCACAATTTCAACAACATCAGTATCTATTCACTGGTCCAGTATTGCTGGTCATTCTTGGATTACCACGTTTAATCATGTCTTTTGTATTAAAATGTATGAAATCGAAAAATGATGCATGGTACTTCTCGATTGACTATTTTATCTCATTTTTACCGCCGATGCTTACTTTTGTTATATTTATATTACCTTCTAAATTCTACAAAAGAGAATTTCATGAATCTCTCACCATTTATCTAAGCAGAATGAAACGACACTCACAATTTAATACATAAAGCAAGCATTATGATTGTATCGAAAATATAGACGAGACTTATAAAACTATTCACCTAAGATAATACCGATCGGCCAAAGAGATAGCGAACTAAATTTCAATGAATATTCATAGTTTGTTTCAGCATAGACGATCTTTTCCATATATTAAATATCAGAATCCCATCACATAGGTTACTTCAGTTAAGTGTCATGATAGTCTACGCCGAAGTCTTTTAAATTCATTTCGGCGTCAGTAAATACCATCAAAAGGAGTCTCGAGCTTGTTACTCTGAAATGAATGAAGCGTCTTAAAATTTGAGCTTTATCGGTTTATTGTTTTTCTCAGTTTTGGATCTTCTGACTTCTATGCGAAATGTATGAATCAACGGTCGGAATAATTCCGTAAATGATTTAAACACATAACTGCATGTCATGAAAGAAAACTTCACTTAGGCTCGACATCACATCCTGTTTGTAAGTCTGGGTAAACGTAGCTTATTATTGGGATAACGAGATGCACTAGCTGTTTGACAATTCGCACTAGTCAACATACAAAACATTAGTCACCAAATATGGATTCCCAACGAACGATAGCATTGAGTTTCACATTCAATGTCCATGGATGTGACTCAGTGAAAAACACGGTACAAAGAGAACCAGCTGAGACAAGTGTTTGGATTCAACGTTCAAGACGATGTTAAATTGTTATCTTATGATATAGATGTACAGATATTTTCTGTTTTTAGATTACTGTCTAACTACCTAACAGATATCATGTTCGCGTATAAGCAATGATAAAAGCAGTATTGCGTAATCTTGTGTTAATGTTTTCTCGGTATAGATGTTCATAAATGAAAGTTTATTTTATTTTATTAAGTTTCATGTAATATTTTAAACAAGATTATTGAAATTTATATGCTGTTAAAGTATTATCTAGAAATGTTTTTCTTTCTCAAATACTGCTTGAAAGCTTCAGCAAATCATGAGACGCTTCTCAACCTTGTCGCATCTCATATTTTTATTTACTTTATGTAAAATTTGCTGCATTTTTCAAATGAAGAAAATATATTCAAATATATTGTTCTACAAAAAAAATTACCAACTCGAAATCGGCTCGTTGTTTAGCAAAATAGTTTTTTGGAAGACTGTTTTATGATGCTCACCACATATCAATAGCTAATGATAGTGTAAAACTCCATATTTGCATATATTCATATTGTTATGGAATCGATAAAACAGTTTCAATATATTCTTTTCATATCGGAGCGATCATGCTGCCGCATGTATAACAAAAGTTTGTGAAAGTATATCGTTTCGTTTTCCAGAAGTATTCGTTCAGACGGATAGGATTTTTTCATGTATATTTCAAAAATGAATCGCATTGGGCACGGTGCTAGTAAATCTCATGTTGGCATATAATATATGGTTATACGCAACAATAGCATAAAAAGTTAAAGCAATAGTAAAATGTATATCTATTGCTATATGATATTTCATGAATGAAGAAAAATATTTTTGCTGATGTTGTTGATTTCAGCAAAAGATGGTTATGTGATTGTCAAGACGTCTTTCTTATACATGAACTCTAAGATAAACAATATTTATTCATAGACAGGCTAATCCTTGGAGTTACTGTCTCTCGCAGATTATGGCTTTATCACCTAGAGGGAAGTTGGTAGGAAAAAAATTAATAATGATTTTATTTCCTCTTTCGGCAATTCCAAACAACATCGGTTAGATAAAAGTTAGAAATAAATTATCATCTGGTATCTGCTAATAAAACTAATTCGCGGAACATAAAGTCAATAAAGAAATATTTTGCAGCCCAAAAGAAAAACTCACTATCATTTATTGGTGATAAATTTGTAAATCGGTTGTGTCAACAAAGGAAGTTACCAATTGGCGACATCCTTGCGGGATTAAAATGTGAAACTTAATGAAGCTGTTCGTAAAGAACACATGCGACACTTATTTTACTTTATCTGTTTTGAAGTGAAGTTCTTTAATATCAAGTTACATATCCTTCCAAATATAGAATAAGATAATTGGTAGTTCATGTGTTAAAATTGAATATAATTAATATTGATAGCAAGTACTAATATTTATTAAAGTCTTTAAAGTTTGTCAAAATTTGTGGATTTCGTTAAAAAGAGCAATAAATGTCTACCATAGATATCTCGGAGTTCCCTTCGCATTCTACTTCACACGATACTTTTTCTCCTCATCTTGAAATGGCTTTTCAGAAAACATTCATCTCACAATACTACATACACACACTGATCATTAAAATATATAACTTGCATGAATTATTTCCGTTCAAAATTGTTATTTTAATGCATTGCCAACTGTATAGAATCTAGGATGCAACTTTACAAGTACAATATTGACTCGAATTTGCGTCATAAAAAAATGCTACTAATAGCATTAAGAGATCATCCTAGCGCAATGTATACTTATTTACTTATTTTTTCTGCAAATAACCGACAAGTTATCGTTGGGGAGATAAAGATGTGACTGCCTGTTTGTCAGAATAACATCTATCAAAGTAAGCCATGTCTCTTGGAATACAAATATAGATGCCGGAAAACATGTAAAAGAGTACTCGATTACAATTAATTCAAGTTGTGAATTATTATTGTAATTCTTTTAACATTTAACTATTCTTCATCGTCTGTAGGAGTTGTAGTATCGATGATCTGACTACAACACGAAGGATTCATCGAGATTCAGTACAAATATTCGTGAATCAATCTTTACATAATACTGATTTCTGAATTCAACTAGTAGATAATTTATATATAAGATCTCCTCAGTTGAATAAAACACTTTTAAGTATTCATTAGTTCAGATAGTCTTAAGAACTCCGTCGGTATACATTGGTCTGTGAAACGAATAGTACAATAAATTATTTAGTATATGATTACCCTTCAAGTTTCATTTCATATTGATTATATAACAATAATGGTCGGCATCGATGCAAGAAACAAACATTGGCTTCATCAGAAGTACATATGTCCTGTGTGTGCCTTGATACTACCAGATCCAGTGCAATTTATAGGATGTAGCCATCGACTATGCCAAGCGTGTTAACCTAATGAACATCAGTAAGTTTATGATTACATTGAAGTGTTATTATTCATTGTTATTTTTATAGAAGAGAAATCAGATGTTCTTAATGATGTCAATCAGAAATGTTGAGAGCCGATGTAAAGTGTCTTGTTGGTAAAAACAGAGAAAATATATCTCTTGAGGGTGTGGATGCGGAATGATGATACATGGTACACCCGCACCCACCGCCTACACCCACACTCTTACAGAAAAGAAGAAACAGTAAGGTTCTTGTCGGGTTTCTTTTGTCTGCTTATATAATTTTATGCATCTATCGTTTTCATACTATTGCAGTACACTTCTTGTAAATAGTCGATGTTGAATTCTCAATTGTTGTAATCAAAATTCGAATGCCTAAAATATCGACGAAATCTGTAGTGAATTATGTTCAATCAAAAGATGTTTCTAGACAGAAACATCATCAAAGTCGAACAACAAAGACGAACTTTATTAAGAAAAAACGTCACAAACTACTATCAAGGGTATGAAATAATATCTCAGAAAAAAAGATGCTTCCTAGGTAGAAAAGAAGAAGAAAATTCCACATGAGTAGACTTTACGAGCTGACGTCGCTTGTAACATGATGATACTCTCATAGTTTTATCTCCGATAAGCGACGCTAATCAGGATACTGTTTTATGATATGAACACACGTTTCGATACCAAAAGCAATCCACACTTCTGTGGTTACGTTTATTCTCTCCATTTTCCAGGACTTGCTTAACGCGAGCTCAAGCAAAACAAAATTTATTTACAATTTCTATTTGAAACGTTGCTGTCGTATAGCTATGCCAACAAGCAAAAAAGAATAGTCAAATTTTTAATTAGAATGCAAATGCGGCTGCTTTGCAACTCTATGAAAACAAAAGAAAAAAAAATTATGAATGCTAATACAGAGAGCTTGTATATATGCGCTTAATTAAAATTTTTATCTCAGAAAGGGTATAAAAAAACGTTCGAAGAGGCGAGCTCCTAACAACATGATAGGATCGATTCAAGGAGATTTTTCAAAAGATTTGTGCTTTAGTATAATTATATCAAAGCGATTTATTTCATCTATGGGGAAAATATGCATAAAATTACCAGAAGAAAAAAAACAAGCAAACCATATTTTTTAAAGACAAAAGGTCATCATAGTAATAGATAGTGTCACAAAACTAATGAATCTAATTGCTATTTGATTCTCTAAAAAACTAGCGCGTACTTAAAGCCTGTATAAAATAAATGCCTGCTTTTGGACAGCGATGTAGACAGGACTTCCAATAAGTTTGACATGTCTTTTTATTTATCTGCTTGTAAAATCTAGAAATGATCTTATGATAATTATTCTGGATTATACCTCAAATAAAATTTACCATAGATACTCATGTATCGGGTGTCCCAGAATAAATTACCCTGTTTGTATTTTTAATAATTCTTCGTTTTATTAATCTTGATCGAACTAATTTTTTTTCCCGAAAGATTGTCCGTTCAATTCTCTAGAAAAAATGTGTTGACAGGCTCATTCCGGAATTCAAAGGTGCAAAATACCCTGAGGAATTGTGACCAAGAAGGAGCAAAAAATGAACGTACATAACATGAAATACAAGTTTTTCAGTATTATTTGCTGAAAAATTATGAGAAGAAGAAAAGTTCAAGTAGCTATCGTGTTGGTCTTGAAAAGCTCTATTTTCTGTTAGTAATTATAATAAAATGATGATTTTTTAATCCATTATTTATACTTTCCGATAAAACAAATAAGGTGTAGTCAAGCTGGATTGATCCAAGCTGTTGTTTTCATTTATTTTGAAAAGCAATGCTTAATCGTTGTGGTTGAGTCGCTGCGATTTATAAAAGCATTATTTTCCTCAACTGCGCAAGAACTGCTAAAAGCATTTGTTATTTTTCACTTTATTGCCATGTAGAGCTAGCCTTTGCGTTGAATATTTAGATTCAAATGGTTTACACTCTATACGAGGAGATAGAGCATATTTGCAACTACAGAAAATGTACTGAAATTCTATTATGGTGCTAGTAAAACGATTTTAAAATATATTTGACAAAAATTGTGTATTTTTTGACCCATTTTGATAGTTCTTACAATGCCGCAGTAAACCTGTCAACACATTTTTCTAGAGAATTGAACGGAGAATCTTTCGGGAAAAAATTAGCCCGATCAAGATTAATAAAAGGGAGAAATATTAAAAATCCAATCAGGGTAATTTATTCTGGGACACCCGCTATTTAAATCAAATATAACTACACAGCTAATTGATTTTTAGAAAAAATCATCCATTGTGACTCCTACTAGCAATACAACAGTCAATGGAAGTTCGTTGTATTCGGTGAGTCACTTTTTCCCTTTTTCTAAGGTTCAGTGGATTTCTACACCATCATCTCGCTGTCGAGATCCTACGAAACAGCTGAGTCAACAAGCAATAAAAGCATCTCAAACGAGAAAATAACACGCAAATAGATTGCTTCATATTAGCTCTTCGTATTTTTTATAGTCCATACATAATCATGGATTATCAATGATTTATATTGAAACTAAACAAAATCCTAGGAGTGATCAAGGACGAACTGAAAGATACGAGCCATTGCTTTCTTTACATTCGGTGAGTTCATTCGTGATATTTCTTATTCTGGTTAGTTCTTAAGAATCATAGAAGGTTGATAACGACGGCAAACAATTAGAAAAACAATCGAATTTTGATGCCATACTTACTGTGAGTATCGAATTGTGAAAGTTAAAAATTTGATACTTTACAGTTCCAAATAGACTCCAAATCGTGAGAAATCACAGAAGTTATCAAATAAACGTCGAGGAGAGAAATCAGCATGGAATAAACGACGAAGGTGAGGTCAAAATAGTGCCAAATATCAATACATTCATTTAGTTTGTTATTATTTATAGATGCTGTTGCTGTTTTTGCCATCCCTTGTGCTGTGTATTGTTGGCATTTGGTGTTATTTTGCTAGCGGCACTTTTGAGTGCATTGATTCTTGGCATTCTATCCATAAAATGTAAAATTCTCGATAGTTTTCAAGTTTCTTTGACTTGTAGCATCTTTTTCTTCTTTTTAAATAGCTGGCTCTGCAAGTACAACATCAACGACAAGTATATTTGAATAATTTTCAATTCTTTTCAGTAATAGTGTCTTTTCTTTTTGAGTAGCATCAACAGTAACAACAACCACAACCACAACTACAACTACAACAACAACCACAACTACAACTACAACAACAACCACAACTACAACTACAACAACAACCACAACTACAACTACAACTACAACAACAACCACAACCACAACTACAACTACAACAACAACCACAACCACAACTACAACTACAACAACAACCACAACCACAACTACAACCACAACAACAACCACAACCACAACTACAACTACAACAACAACAACTTCTACTGGTAAGTTTGACCGATGTGATCCAAATTTCTACTCGTAAGACTCATTAAAGCAGCGAGTAATTGAACTAATGTCTCAATGACAAGATAGACAACCATAAAATAGTTTAACAACTTCGTTTTATCTACTTTGACAGAATTATTTGCTTTTCAAAAATCTTCCTTATGATTCATAAGATTTAAAGAGTTGATTCATTTAAAAAATTTCTCATATTAGCTAGTGAAACAACAACAACTACCGATATAAAAAAAAAACTTTTCGCCCAAGTAAAGCAAATTTATTGGCAAGTTTCTATTTGTTTAGCTCCGCAGACTGAGACAGCTGGAGAGAATACTCCTATTATTATCAGCTGTAATGGTTCACTCGTACTGGACATTTTAGATGCCTATTATGGTGTACCAATTTGCTACGATTGTTCATGTTCATATTGCAATTGCACGGTTATGGTTGTTACGACAATTATCACAAATCTTTGTCAAGGCCTTAATACATGCTCTTTTACTGTGGCGAACAGTCTATTCAATGACCCGTGTCCTATGCATGTAAAAACTTTCACTCTAGTATATAGCTGCGGGTAGAAAGACTTCATGAAGTGAAGAGAAAATCTGCATTTCATCTACTCGAATAAATGTAATAATCAATATTTGAAGAAAAATATACGTACTGTAGGATGCACAATTGAAAATTTCAAACTCTTCGATAGAATCATTAGATGCGAGATTCTTTTTTTCTTTTTTTTCTTTCTCTTGTCATCGTCATGCATCAAGAATTGCACTAGTTAGCATGGGACAATAACTACGTAGCTTTTATTCATCCGTATTATTTGTCGGGGTAGAGAATAGACAAGGGACAAAATGATTTTCGTTGTTATACATCAGCATCAAATAAACGATGGTCTCAAATGGAGTAGATGCTTACCAATCGAAGAAATCGAGTAACTGTATAAATAAAAGTATTTTTACAATTGTTTTTTGTGCCCGAAGCTGCCTATGGATCAACCTATCAATGTATGGGTATTGGTGCTATATTGCATAATATTGGCTATTGTGTAGCATTCGCTACAGAATCTTCTTGGAAGGGCAAACTGTCTGTTTATGATTTTGAAGAGTATGTAACTGATTACGCTGAGCAATGTTGATCAATTCTGATCTGATCTGACTACATCAAGATGAATAAAGTAGCATTTAGCTAGTCGTCCATTGGGTACGGGGTGTGCCTGCAAGTATATGAGTGTATCAACGAACATACAATCCGCCATTAGGCAACCTCTACACTGTCAGCGACATATGATCGATTCATTTCGACCAGATATTAAATCGAGCAGTTTTCAAAGACCTCGAACGGATATGAAGATTGCAAGTGGTATGCCGAAGTTTTGCATGTTCATCAAAATTATGGTTGGTTTTTTTAGATACACCCAACACCTTATTCCCCTACATTTTGAATTTGAATTCCAATCTGCCAATGCATGTTCAACAAGCATTGATCACAGAAGAGACCAAACGAAGACTTCAACAATAGAATAATTATTTAGTACAAATGCTTTTGAAATGATAAACTGTTCAAATGATATAAAATATTGCGTCGATCAATCGAAGTATCCTTCTCTGAAAATAGATAGTTTCAATAAATTAACATATTAAACAGGCGATTGAAAGTTTTCGCCTTGAGAGTGTGAATGTGAACTCACAAGAAGTCAGCATGATAGTTTTCCGATTACCGAAATGACAATGAACAATTAGTTCTCTCATAGTCGGATATTGTTGTTGTAATGTTACTATTTGTGGAAGTCCTAGGGTACTGATGAGGAATTCCTAGTTTTAAATTCTTCAACTGACTACGACTATATATGCTTTCAGGGTACCGCCAAGTTCCGTTTTGCGGCAATTTTTTAAAACATGCGCATAAGCAAACAGTTTCGGCAAATCAAAATGATTTTATGCATAAAAAATATGGATAATTGAGTCAAGCAAAATAATAAACATACCGATGAAAGATTTTTGATTTCCAATATTTGATTGATGACTCACGATTTCAAGAGAAGGGAGGACAACTTTGTGATCGAATCACTCCTGTACTGGCAAAAAAGATGCAGAACTATATGTTGCGTGGGTTGATGCTTTTTATTAGAATAATTTTCAAAAACATGTTCGCTGAGTATTAGAAAAAGAAAAAGAATTATTGTTTGAAATATTGATGTATACTTTTACTCTTTGACCCAGGAGAGTGTAAATGAATCCTACATCTCCTCAAAAACAGTTCAAAGTCTACGACAGTATACTATACAAGCATGTTTTAGGAAGGCAAACTATACGATGAATCATCACGAAGAATGCAGTACGCCTGTCTAACTTGACTCACTATCGGATTTTGTTGACTTTTGTGTTATTTCTCTGGTTGTATTAGAACAGAAAAAGAGAAGCGCGGTATGCTCTTTTCTCTTCCTCCTTTTTGTGTCGATATTCGAGTTTCTATTTAAGCTGCCATTCTTCAATTTTTTTATTGATTATTACTTCAACCAATTCGACGACGTACTGGATTTATATATGGTAGGAATTTTAGTTGCTATTCATTTTTCGTTTTTCGGTATTTGCAAGAACAAATTAAGTCCATTGTGATCAATAGTGACAGAACATATGCCGTTTTGTCTTTGTTTCTATATTTATCATGACTCATGGCTTGTGAAATTTCTTTTTTTATTTTCATCTTTTCAGGATCGCTGGAACAGAGTTAAACGTAAAGTTCCAACTCGACGTACAGTGGCACGTTTTTCTTTCGCACTACTATTAATATGGCTATGCCATCAACGAGTAGCAAAACTGGATTTCATCCGAATGACTCATCATGGCTTTGCTTTATCCGGCAATGTTGACACCACTTATTCTTCGATACATTATGATCCACTAAAAGCGAATCTTGGTTTGATATTTTTTCGTCATCTAATTCATGATAATGATTCTCATGAACATGTCAATGACGAAAATCTATGTTCATTAATGCATTTCTTCATTCAACAAGCAACTCTCAACAATCGACCAGTTCAATTTTCAACAGGTGAGTTCCATAATGATAAAATGCTGTAATGAAAATTAGAGATTAGATCTTTCACAAAAGTTAGAATAATAGTTTTTTCCTATAGGATTCCATACGAATATTTCATGATTGATACAATATAGGCTGTTCTTGTTTAGGCATTTTTATTCTCTATGATTCGACTGGGCGATTTTTTCCACGGCTGATGATGGCCAAAAATGCTCAAATACACAGTGACGAACATCGTTCCGGTTATATGCTTCGTCTCAAACATTTTGCTATTGATGCAATACTATCAATACGAGAAAGATTTTCAGGTCGTCGATATTCGAATGCCTTACCTTTTATTTATTTACGCGGCGATGAATCATCCCATTTTCATGAACGCGGCACCAAATACGAACGACGACATGTCTATCCTGCTTAGTATGTCTCTTAAAATAGCATTCTTCTCTTTCTCTAATTATTCAATTCATTGATTTTTGTTTATTTTAGTGGTGCAGACATTCGACATGGTTGCCTACCAAATCATTTCGGTCATATTTTATTTGGCCAATTGAAAAGTCTATCCAATTCAGTAGATCCTCATTATCGAGGTGATCGTATCTACATGAAACCTGAAGCATATGGTTTGCAACAATTTCCACATTACATTGCACGTTAGTATGCTGATTTTTTTCGAAATATAGTATTAACGTATTATTTTGATGTTTAGATGGTGGCCACTATATTCGATCTAAGCTGCAACTTATCTTTTGTCAGTGGGCAGATAGTTGGAATTTTAAATTTTGCTTGCGGACTGTCGCCTTTCACGAATGGACCGATCGTATCTGGACAAAAAAATGGGAACACATATTGAGCACTATGATTCATGTCGAACGTCGTCCATTGCGTGATCAAGCTTCGTTGCATGGTATTCATGAAATGTATCGACAGACGCTTCAGTTTCCTACACAGTCAAATGTCGAGAAATTTCGTACGGAACTCGAACATCACTACGGTTCTGATATCAGTGCACGAAAAGGCAACGAAATCATTCTAACAACAGAAGAACTATTAAATAGCCAAGCGACATGTGATTGATCTGGAGATAATGTTGTCAGTCCATTGCTGTGATAATTCTCTATCGAGTCAGTTAATTAAAGAAACATAATGTGCGTTAATTCGTTGATCAATCGTTCAATACGTCTGATATATATATATATATTTCTTTTTGAGTTCCATCTCTTTTTTAGATTTCAAATCTTTTGTTTTAATTTATAGTTATGAAATAAAATAGTGTGACATAAAATAATAGATTTCAAATAAAGCTCTGATTTCGTTGAAGGAAACAAGCTCATGCACGATAATGCAAATGATTCAACACGTTTCGTAAGACAGTGTAACATTTTCATTGACTTCGTCTGTTCTTATTTACGTTTAAATTACAATAAGTTGCTACGTTTTGCAATTATGATGAGTCATAATAGAAGGATACAACGTGGCAATGCAAATCGTCAATAAATGCACTCGGTTTGATTTATTTTTATGATTTCTCGTCAAAGATTGTTTGTGAGCGATCGTGTATTTCAGGTTATCAATAATGTGCTCTTCAACAGTAGAAGATCAACTTTCATTGAGCGATATTATTATGCCATATGTTTATACTCGAGTACTACTCGTATACGATTATCTTATTGAGGACTTGGAACAATCATTCAATGAATATCTTCATCGATTCTGTCCACAAGCATTTAAACGAATTATTAATGATGACTGTGAGCGAACTCGTGGACATATTGTTGATTATGAAAATGGGCAAAAACGGCAAGTATTCTCACGTGAATCGAGGTCAGATGAAAGTATAACCAAATATTTGAGCGATGATTCATTGAATGACGATGTATTTCCCTGTGGTATGATACCAACAGATGTATCACCTTTAATTTTCATGCATCAAATTAGTCTACAAGACGGAAGTCTACTAGCAATAGGTTGCCATCATTATCTATCGGATGGTCATGGATTGAGTATATTGGGTCTACGATTTTCACAATGGCTCAAAGACAAACATTCCTTAGCGTTTGATCATGATCGATCGAAACTTCAACAACTTGCTAGTTTATCTTCTATTCGATATGAGCATTCAGAAATGAGTCTCGCCATACCTATCATCCCTGGTTTATACAAATGGCCTCTATCAGATACAGTTGTTAAACGTTATACGAAAAACTATCTTTTCGATCGATTGAATGTAACGAATAACAATGGAATACTTTCAATGAATGATGTACTGATGGGATGGTTAACAAAGATAATAAGTCAAATTCGACAAGTTTCTCGTCAGACAACAGTTAAAATCGGTATGGCTTTGAATGGCCGAACTCTTTTGCCGAATATCGATGTCAATTATTTTGGTAATTGTAGTTTCTATTTGTGCTTCTCCTTTCCAATGTCCGATATCGATGATCTCAGCGTAGAAGAGCTAGCTCAACGAATCAACATTGAAAAATGACAGTTGATGACAACTGCATATATTCAATCAGCATTGGCTTTCATTGATAAACATCATCGTTCGTCACTGATTCATCTTGGTTGGCAACCCATCGGAGGCAATGATCTATCGTTTAGTAATTGGACACGATTTCCTATTTACAAATGTGATTTTGGTCAAGGTAGAGCGAAAAATTTTAAATTCTCTTCAATGGAGTGCGATGGTCTTATTTTTATTTTACCAACAATGACGGATGACGAAATCGAACTTCATATTACTCTTCAAGCCGAGCATGCAAAATTACTTCTTAGCAAACTTGTTTAACAATAAAATAATAGAAGTTGGCTTTTGAACGACCACACCACATGAGTTACACGAAGTATGATATCGTGAGAATTCTTCTAGGTTTCATACACCCACACACACATCCTCGTCTTCGTTCGCCAAGAAAGACACCTTTATATTAGAATATGCAAGTAGTTACTATGTTTTACGTTGAAAGGAGACACTGTAGATTTATTTTAGTGCGCATTTATATTTAGACTCACAAATCATGAATATCCCAGTTTGATTGTCTACGTTTTACATCTGTCGATGGATCGTGCTCTCAGAAATATGTTGATTATAATCTCTACTATATGAATTTATTTTGAAAGAAACAATAAGCTGAAATGCATTAAATCTAATTTCACTTTTACACTCAAATATTTGATATATCATTGATTATAAGAAAAATTCGACGAAATTATTTGAAGGATATAATTTTTTAAATTTTAAACTTACGCTGTTACACTTTATTTCAAAGTACATTTTATACTTGTATTTATGCAATTTTCATTTTGAAACATAATTTGAATAATACGATATTAATTTATCAAAACGTCTTTGTTATCCATTGATGATCGACGGCAATATACTCAAATTTATGATATTATCAAAGTAGGGGTGCCACATTTTGATTTAAACAATTTTATTAAATCGAGAAATAAACTTTCAAAAATTTTAATTTAAAATAAATTAAATTTTTTTAAATGAAAAGTTAAATTTAAAACAAACTTAAACTCAAGCAATTTTTAATTAATTAAATTTTAAATTTTGTATCATTTAAATTTAACTAAATTAAAATTAAATTGTTTGAAATTCAAATTAGTTAAATTTTGAAAACTAGGAGGTAAACATAGTTTTTGACTTGATTGCTACTATTTGAAGTCAAATTTGAGTATGTTTCCTGTCTTTTAAAGTTAAAGTTAGCCATTCTTCTACGAATTGTGCTATTAAATATATTTTTTATGAATATCCCGGTATTTTGAAGAAGATGACTGATCGTGCATAATCTGTGTGGAGAAATTTTGACTATTATGAACAAATATTAACCTAAAATACTAGGTTCTCCTCTCATTTAGTATTTACTACTGTTAAAGTCACGTATTTTCCTCATAGCATTTATGAGTATCCATCCAAACAATTTATTAAATTTAACTTGATAGAATTTAATTAAAAAAATTAAATTAGCTTTTCCCGAAGTTAAATTTAACATAAATAAACTATAAATTGACACCCCTATATCAAAGTATATGTCCCCCTGCTTTTGTCTGATTATGTTTTATCTTGAATCTAGGCAAAAATACTTATATAGGTCAATTCCCATTCGAATAAGGACAATCAACACATTTGTTTAGTAGTCCTTCCAAATATTTATCTGATTGAATGAATACTTTCCCAATATGCGAAACCGATCAATTTAACATATGAAAGTCAAATGGCGAACATCATTTGAGCCTAGTGACGATCGATATCCTCTATAAAACATATTATAGATTAGTTTGAACTTTTCAATGAAGATATATTTTATAATTTTCTGACAGCACTAAATCTTCTTAGATGAATATTTTATAAGCACGCATATCTTCACCTTTTGACATTCAATATATCTCAAGACGAACGTATATCGTCATGCGATAATATATTGTCAATATTTACAACTAAGAGAAATTCGACTTTATCTCAACATTTTATCCTAAACAAAAAATGCCAAGTGATTGGTAGGATTAAAACAAGATGAAAATAAATGGTCATTCTATGAAAATTCTGTTGATGAAACATATTACATAGTTCGATATGGGTCTTTCTTATTCGAAAGCTAACAATCGCAATGAATGTGATAGCAACAAGTTCAGTGATCTATACAAAGTTGCTTGGAGAATGATATTGATTTAGTTCAATCATTACTTGCAACATCGTCTTTCGAAATGATACATTGTCATGAAACGAATGGTAGTACAGCTCTACATGTTGCTGTAGAATGTGGTCATACAGAAATTGTTCGTCTTCTTTTACATGATTATGGAGTATGTCGACATTTACCGGATAGTCAAGGTTGTACTGCTTTTGAATTGGCTAAAACTGATAAAATGCGACAACTATTTAAACGCTCAACGTTAATTGAAAATCGGTTTTATGATGAGACGAATCGTTCAGCAGTATTTACTGTCACAGAATCTGACGAAAATCAAAATATTCCTTTTGGACGAGTCGAAGGTCATCAAAATTATGGATCTATTCTTGATGAGCATACTCATAAAATTTATCAACATCCTAACGGTTTACTCACACGTCTTTCTGATAAAATAATTTCTTACAAACCAGGTAATAATCAGTTTATATCGAAAGCAAGCGACGTCTTATTAAATGTGATAGATCAGCATATCGATTTAACCAACGCACAATATCGTAAAGCAAAAGTATTAGTTAAACAATATTATGAAACTGGACGAGTGAATTCATTGATTCGATTGTATACGCTTGAAACACCTTTTTATACGTTTATCAATCAAAACAGAGAAACTAGTGAATATCTTGCAATACCAATTTATTATTCACTTCGTTTTCTTTATCCACGTGCATTCAAAGGTATTTGTTATTGCGGTTTAAGTATGACAGTGGAAGAATTGAAAGATTATCGATGGGGTCTAGAAAAGACTAGCCGCTATTTGGTAACAAATACATTTTTTTCAACAACGAAAAACATCGATTGTGCACAAGGTTATGCTGAAGTACGTGCATGGGATCAACGCATTCCAGTATTGATAGTATTTGACTTTTCTAGTAAATGTTTCACAGCAATTCAACTAGAAAAATTATCCAACCAATTACCCTCAATATCAGAAATCGAGAGCGAACAAGAAGTATTAATTTTACCTCGAACAACCTTTCGTGTGCAAAAAGTTGAACAAAATGTATCACAAGCGGCAATATATTTGACATTTTATCCACACGACAAAGAAATTGATGAATATTATACTCTTCTGGCGCACAATATTTCCGAGTACTGATATTATTCCCTTTTACTATTTCTACCTTGTTAAATTTCTATAAACGAACATATAAATCATTTTTGGAAATCGAACAATGGTTTGATTCTTTCAATGTAGTTCTCAAGCATAGATGTCCATCCTTGCGCTACTGTTGATGCAACTCCATCGCGGTCGCGGTAAGCTTCCGTCGATAGTAGCGCAGCGATGGACATCTCTGTTCTCAAGCAACATTTACAAATAACTATAGAACAAGAAATGATATTTGATCATTGCAATGGATTTTTACATTGGCATGAATCCTTTCATTGTCACATAGTTCAATTTCAAATTCATCTTTCGTTACTTTCGATTGTCTCATCACAACAAATCTTGAGGGTGTGGGCAGTGGTGGAGCCAGGATTTTGGACTAGGGGGGGCAGGGCTGAGCCCCCGAAAAAATTTTCGTGAATTGTTTGAGAATTTGAAAGTCATTTTGGACTTTTTTTGGGAATTTTGACAATTTTTCTGGCTTTTTATCGGATTTTGAAAGCTTTTTTTAGATTTTCGGAGAATTTTTTGAAATTTTTTGAAGATTTTTGGTTTTTTTGAAGGTTTTTCTGAAATTTTTGAAGATTTTCTTGATTTTTTGAGAGATTTTGAAATTTTTTCTTGATTCTTGCGGGAGTTTTTGAGTTTCATAGTTGAGCAACACTAGCTAAAACATGAAATTGCAAACATTACTACATATTTATATAAAAAGCATTTTCTAAAATCTCGCTAGGGGGCTCAACACTGTCTAGGGGGGGGGGGGGGGGGGGGACCCCCCGGGCCCCCCCCGGGGGTCCCCCCCGGGTGGGGGGGGGGGNCCCCCCCCCCCCCCCCCCCCCCCCCCCCCCCCCCCCCCCCCCCCCCCCCCCCCCCCCCCCCCCCCCCCCCCCCCCCCCCCCCCCCCCCCCCCCCCCCCCCCCCCCCCCCCCCCCCCCCCCGAACCCCCTAGGCCCCTCCCTGGTTCCGCCACTGGATGTGGGGTGGGAACTATCTCTTGATTCACACCCTTATTGAACAAATGAAGTAATAGATCAAACGAGATTAAAGAAACAAATATATATATAAATAGTTTAGCGTTTGGTAACGACATCTATTGACGCTAGCAGGAATAAATAAAAGGGAAGAAGCTCGTGGTAACGAATAATTTAACTGTGTTGACTGTCACTATGAACGCCCTTTGTGATAGAAGTACATATTTATTTAAAAACAAAAAAGAAATTTTTTAGGAGAACAGAAAAAACAGAAACAGTACAGTTGTTATATTGTTTTACTGCACAAGAAAATATACGATTTATTTATAAAAAAAATCAATCTAACAGAACAGAATAGGGGTGGCATTTTAACTTTATTTTAAACGTTAAAGTTAAAGTAGAAACATTTTAATTTTAATACTTTAATTAAATTATTTTAAAGTTACAGTACCATCCCTAGAACAGAGCAAAACTCAGTTCGGATCAATTAGCAGCAACCTTGAAAAACAACCAGTAGTAAGTATAGTAAGCAGATCTCTTTGAATATATTTTCTTATCAAACTAGCTTAACGTTGACGAAGCCCATCCCATAGATATTCTATGCAGATAGCATGAAACTTTGTAATGATTTCTTACTTGTATATTCCATTCTACATCACACACTGTATGTTAGTGATTTTTACTTCCTTTAACTTTCGATGTTTGAATATCATCCAGAAAATAGAATGACTTGTTGGCCGTGCCTGCATAATTCAATGGTTATAGTACTGGTCCAGCCAACCACTATCGTATCATATCATGGATTCGATTCCCGGACGAAACAGATCATTTATTTTTCTGGATGATATTCAAACAACAAAGCTCAGGTGACCGCTCACTTCGTCGCATGACAGTTTGTTGCAAGACAGTTCGTCGCAATGAAAATTCTTTGCCATAAGTTAGTCATGTATAAAGGAGAGGATATATGTTACAGTAGAACACACTGTAACATACTCCCTTATTGGACAAAAAAATGTGTTCTATCCACATTTTTGGAAAGATAGAAATAATAATGAAATCGAGAGATAGGTAATGACTAGCATCAGACGAAAAGAAAAATAACAAACTACAGCGCGAGAACATTTTTGAAAAGAAATGGTTAATATATGAAACAACAAAAACAAAATAACAAACTATATAGCACGAGAAAGTCCTTGCAAAGACATGGTTAATAGGATGAAACAACGAAAACAAAATGCAAATAGAAATATGAGAGAAAACCGTGTTCAGCGACACGAATAAATAACAAATATAAGAAGAAAAAGAAATTCAATGTGATAACAAAAGATTTGTCTACACATACGAAAATGAACGAATATAAATCTTATACCCTTTGATAGTTATATCTTGCTGATTTTTGGTTGATGATTCTTGTTCGATATTGTTCAACTTCGCCAACTTGTTCGTGTCCATAAAGTAAAAACATGCAGGATTTTTTCAATTTTCCATATGTCTATAAAATGTATTACGATATCAAGTACCAAAATCGAAATTTTAACACAGAAATTGACTTGTTCCCCAAAGTGCCGCGACCGAATTTTTTTCTAAAATAAGCTGAAACTAGGAATATACCAATGTCTCACCAAGAGGTGTTTTAGAAACAAATTTCAGACGTATAGTGATATCCAGTCAGGAGATATGAACTGGCAAATATTAACAAAAGAGTGATTTTCCTCTGCATTGCTGTGATCCATGGAATGCCAAAAACTGAATTGTTGGAGCTGAAATTTTGTGAATGTTTAGACCTTATTAATATATAAATCTATAGAAAATGTTAGCTGCACGGAATGAATCCTTCTTGAGATATAGCTTATCCAATAGCGCATTTGGTGAAAGCTGAAAGTTGAAGTTTCAGTTGAATTCAACTTTCAAGTTCGACACTACTGGTCCGTACACATTTAAGTTTTGCTTTGAGAATAGCAAGTATAAGCATAGCAGAGCTAGACACACAATATAATATATGTTTTATGTGGTCATTCAAAGAAACATTAAAACACGACCTCCCAACGCGCATATTCATTCCACCGAGATAATATACGATGTGTCTAAACAGATTGCTTGTACCATCTATTTTAAAGATGGCGTGCTTTGCTATGGGAGGGGGAATCGAACCTCACACGCTCTAGTTCGGAGCCAGAAACGTACCCTATTCGACAAGGGTTTCCCATATGTTGTATTTATTAAACTATAATATAGTCGATTTGATTTCACGACAACTGTTTTGAGTATTTCCTTTCCTTAATACTTCGCATGGCAGGACTACGAATAATGCTATTGATATAGAACTTCTATTGCAAGAAATAGGTATAATGTGCTCCAAAAGTTTTGGCTCCTTTATAAAAATAGAAGAACGTAGGTTGTTAAAGCTTTGGATATTAGTTGTTTTCTCTTTTTTAAGGCAAATCATATTTTCACTTCTTGTAAATTTCACACTTATCCAATATGCTATTTACTTATTAGTACGAGTCTGACATGCCATTTCTCTCTCGAAATTTGACTATGAAACCCTCAATTGAGGAATGAGGCAAATGTTAGGACTAATTTTCGGGCATTTTTCTATGTGTCGCACTCGAACGCGAAAGTCATCGCTGGTTACTATATGAAACTATCTGATTAGAACATTGAATGGGTAGTATTGAAACAGGATGATACGTTAGTACATTTTGTATCGAAAACTCTCAAATAGCTACAAATAAAGTAGTATGCTAGTGAAAAATGTTTTGGATTATCATGTGGTTGTTCTCGATAAATTACCTGCTATGTTTCTATACGAACGACTTAATATTGCGAAGAAAGAATTTCAGCAAAGACGTTATTGAAATATCATTTTGATCTCCGAAATATTTTCGATATTCTCTTCCAACTAATATCCAAACACTCCTCAATATCGAAACTAAATATCGATCTTAGCAAATTTGTATAAAATAAACTCAAAGAGGAATCTATTTACCAATCGGTTGGACCACTATGGACTCAGATATAGTTATGCAAGTGATTTTACAATACGGATCTACTTAAAAGTTATAATACTCTTATTCTTTCCATTTTGGTTCTGTAAAAAAGATGTTTCAAATAATAATTGTCTGAATATCACAGTAAGAATAAATGAAAGATCGATTTATTTTCATAACACCCCATACAGGCCAATTTCACTCATACTTCTTTTTTTTTCATTTTATCTCTAGAAAGAAAGAGCAACTTTATATACTGTATTCAAACTCTCATCAATATTATTTATCAATTCAACGACACACATCATGTATCCTTTCGCTGACATCGACGTTTCTTTGAAAAGACTTCCTCCTGTTTATGGCTATCGTGCTCAAAAACTGACTTCGCTTGAAAAAGCATTAGAACCTGTACAATCTCAAATCGATCAATTGCCTTATTTTGTGAAAATAGCAAAGCGCAATTGTCATTATCCATCAGAGCACGGTCTATCGCATGATGAATCTGCTTCTATTTATATTTATACTATGGAATGGGGTGAAACTTCTTTGTACCGTGTACTAAATAAAGCATTGCGCTCGGACAATAGACAAACTTTAACAATATGGTTTCCATATCTGAAGTTGTTTGACACAGCATCAGATAAGTTATCAACTGTTAAACAAACAGTTTGGAGAGGTGTGAATGGGGACATTGGCAAAAATTGCTTTAAAGGTCAAGTCCTTCAATGGTGGTTTGTTAGTTCGTGTTCTTTATCACTAGATGTTACACGAGGTTTCCTCGAGAAGAAGGAAAGCTCAACACTGTTTCGCATTGAAGCTATTAATGGCAAGAAAACTTCTGGATATGCACAATATGAAAGTGAGGATGAAATTATTTTACGAATCGGTACAGAACTTCACGTCAAGAGTGACCCTTCAATTCAACCCAACGGATCCTTTCTCGTCCATTTGGTCGAAGTTGATGACGAGAATCGTCAACCGTTAGCTTCGACTATCAAAGAATCAAATCTAAATCATAAAAAAGAACAAAACAACAATGCAAGTATGTCACTTCTAATATTTCATATTGCGATAGTATTTTCTCACACGAACAAAAAAAAGATTTGACGTATCTAGGATATTACTGAGTTTCTAACTAGGCCATCGAATAGATCAGCCAAGGAAATCCTGTTTGATTCCAGGTCATAGAACTACTAAAGGGTCTCACTATTAAGTAAAATGTATGTATTTGGGCCTGATTCAGCAACTTTTGCCCAACGTCAGAAGCTCTTTTCGATAGTGAATCAGACTTTAGCGGAGTTGCATTACAGTTCTAATCAGAATCTGGCATTTGGAACCTCAATATCATCCTAAGATCTGTAATCCATAGGATTCTGTTACTTTCAATCAAAATTTTCTTTTCTTCTGACCATATTCCACCGGATTGTCCACAGTACAGCTGTCGGAATATATTATCTCAGTTATCACGCCCAAGAAATTTAGATTGTATTTTCCGATTTTCTTATCAGCTCCACAAATGACGGATCAGAAAACCATTTGATCACTATTCGTGTAGAGTGTGGGTGCGGTCTTCCACGTATATCACCGTTCATCCAAACTCCTCATCCCACCCACACCTACATCCAGGCTCACACCCATACTCACACTCCAGGCATGCAGACAGCCACAGCTACAGCCTCAACCCACATCCACACGTCTAGATATCTAGAAACCCTGATAAAACCCTCTGGAGACTCTCTATGAGCTCTCTAAAGATCCCATCAGTATACTCATTGAGTTCTCCATAGTTGATAACCTGTTTGGTAATGTCTTAGTTCTTTTATGTGAGAATTTGGGAGAGGTTGTAACAAAATTTTAAAATCTTAGCAAAGGTTTTTGTAAACCCTGCGTGTTTCCATAAGGGCGAAAAACTCAAAAATCTAACAGCATAGTTTTATAGAGGAGCATTTGACAAATCGAATGGCATAAAGAAATCGATCATAGGACCTCAAGAAAAAACCATGAAAAGCTTACAAAAAGAGGTTCGCATAGTGTCAGAAAAATGTTTTTTGGAGATTCTGGCGGAGAAAAAATAAGATTAAAATGGGACGTGGAAGATATATTCATGTTCAGCTTGATAGGCTGAATCAGAATATATCCTTTTGAAGCCGAATCGATCGTCGGAAGCACCTGAAAAATCAATTTTTCAAAAAATGTTGAGAACAGGATTTTAAAAAGCCTACGATTTTGTAGATTTTTCGTGTCCCAGGAGGTATTAAAAAATTTAAGAAACACATATTCGTGATCACCGCAAAATTCTCTATTCGATTATGTGAAAAAAGCAAACGAAAAAATTTAGCGCCAATTTTCCTGTGTATGTCTCTTACTGTTAGAATATTATAAACTGGAATCGGCTATGAGCTGAGTTGAATTCATGAAATGGCACGAGTTTGACTTTCATTTTTTCATTGTGACCGCCGTAGATTGCTGATAGTACGTACGATGTCTCAACATTCTCTATAAGCTCTTGATAGATAACTGCTTGTTACTTACTTTTACATGAAAGAGTTTTACGTGCGAGAGATGACCAAAGTTTCATAAAAAAGAGTCTCTGCTTATGTTACATAGCTCATCGTTGAATCAGATAAACTAGACGACGCTATTCGATTGTTTAATATAATAGGTTTGACAAATCGATTTTTTAATATTATTCTCTTATCGGGGAACACAGCCAATCCTCTTCGAAGATTGAATGACTCACCAGAAAGAGATCATGAAACGAAATGTCGAATACTTCCTTATTTGATATTCTTGTGACGCTCCCATGTAGCGTTTTCGTTCTGGTGGTGTAAAAAAGATGCCGCTGTGAAACGAGCTATAATGATCTTGAATACAATACATTAACAAGCATTGTTCACTGGTTGGTTGATTCAAAGATCTTTAATGATCGTCGTTCTAAAATATCAGCAGAATCATTAAGGTCAATCTAAAGCTAATCTCAATGACTTGAATCCATCAATAAATTTCTATTGGGCAACTAGAGTAGAATGCTTCTCCATCTTAGTCATCCATATGGCACGTTCCGAGTTCATGCTATGCCAATTCAGTCGTTCAAATGTGAGTCCAATTTGTAGTTAGCAAATTATGTGAGTTACAACCTCGTTGATATCACGCAAGAAAGAGGTGCAACAAGTAGGTAGGTCACTGAAGAGTGCCTTTATAATGGGCTTGAAGATGAGCATGCAGCTATAAAAGAAATCTATTCCACTACATTTTGAAAGAAAATTGTAACAACATGTAACAAGCTCTTGAAGCACTATCCCAGTCAGAGGGCAGTAGTAACAGTGTGTTTGTTCATGGGGAGAATAAACCCAAATAGACGATTTTTCTGATCATATAATCTATCAAACTGAAGTGTGGCCAAGAAGCGATTAATTTCGCAATCAAATCATTATGAATGAATGCGCCAAAAATACTCGTGTAGAAAGAACAAATTGACAGAAGCTTTTTTCTGATTGAATTCATGCACTTTCCAGTTGCTTTTTAATAACAATATTTTGAATGTATTACAGATTCGAATAGGACCTCTGATGAAAATGGACATGTAATGCTGTCATATAATCACAATAGTAAAGATCTGGTCAAGAGCGTTTACGAAAGTCTACGAGCTGAAAATATTCCTGTATGGTTTGACGAGAGAGATATGCAAGACAACATGTATGACAGGTATTTGATAAACTGTAGAAAATGTTTTTCCTATTATTTCTGTTTCTTATTATTAGTATGGCCAAAGCAGTAAGTGATGCTTCAGTTGTTTGCTGTTTCCTGACGCGAGAATACGAAGAGTCGAAGAACTGCAAACTTGAATTGGAGTATGCACAAAAACTGCGCAAACGTATTATTCCTTGTATGGTTAGCAATAGAAAAATTTGGAAGCCAACAGCTTCAAGATGGTTAGATTTCATTACTGGTTCGACACTTGCCATTGACTTCTCGGATACTTCCACCCAAAGGAAGATTGAAAAAATCAAAGAACTCATTCATAGAATAAAACATGAACATTCTACTGCAACAAATGAACCAAGGTCATCATCACATGATTTTCGCACACGGATCAAGCAAAAGTATCTTCAAGAAAGTACTGTCATACGAATGATGGACGAAGGACAATGTTTTCCAATCGAACAAAGCTATGTTAATCTGGCCATAGTGGGAGCTGCAGAGCAGCAAGAAAAGGAGAAACTGTTGAAAGAGCATGATCAAAAAGATCGAGATAAATACAGTGACCCAATGACAAGTTCAAAACGATATCATGGCACCCTTCTGAGTACATATGAAGAAATTCATACTGCAAAAACTCCAATCGATGTTCAGAATATATTCAACGAATGCAAAGGTTCAACGAGAAAGATACTCATACTCGGACGAGCTGGAATAGGGAAATCGATATTTTGTCAGTATGTCACGTACAGATGGGCAAAGGATGAGCTTTTGTCTGAATATCAGCTTGTTGTTTTGATCCGATTACGAAAATTGACAGAAAATCGCTATCCACCTGGGACATATTCATTAGCAGATCTTCTGAAAAAAGAATATTTCCCATTCGAAGATTTATCATATGAAGAGATACAGAGTTTCACAGGAATGTGCAACAAGCATCAAGTTCTATGGATACTAGATGGATATGATGAATTCTCCAAAAGCAGTCCCGAACAGCTAAGAGACGTCTTTGAGTGCATATATCGAACGCAACATCATATCTTGACCAGTCGTCCATATGCTATTGAATTACGATATGATGTTAAGTTGGAAATTGTAGGCTTCACAAATGACGATATACCAAAGTATATCGATCAGTTCTTCAATCAGCTTAAACCAAATATACAAAATGTTACCGTCGAAAGTAAAAAGCTCCTTCGCTTTTTGGAATCTAATTCGAATATTTGGGGTATTTCTCATATTCCTGTAAATTTAGAGCTCATTTGTAGCCTCTGGACTGATCCGCATTGGTCAAAAACAACAGCACTCACAATGACAGCTTTGTATGATAACATAATAGAGTGGCTATGCCGTCGTCATTTGGCACGAAACAAAATAAATCATGGAGAGATGAGCAAACAAGCTGTCTACAAACATTTCGATGGAGAGTTGCAACTTTTGGAACTTTTAGCTTTCCGAGCCATGGAATATAACACTATCCTGTTCACATCGAATTTTCTGGAAGAAATAGAAGCCGAACTAGTTTGTCCCTTGTCCGACTATTCCAATTTATTCAACATAGGAATTCTTAAATCGTACGAAGATAATTCGATTGGCACTGCGAAACCAATGAAAAAACAGCACTACTTCATACATCTTAGCTTTCAAGAACATTTTGCTGCCAGATATTTACTACGCTTGCTGAAAGGCACAACCAAACAGAACGCGATCAATTTCATCAAAAATAACCGATACGATCATCGGTTTCACTTTGTTTTTACCTTTGGATCAGGTCTTCTCGCACATATACCTTATCGATCGTGCCTCGAACTCTTTTGGTCGACTATTCAAGAAGAACCAGCAGATTTAATCGGCATCACAGCCATCAAACTAACAATAGCTTGCATCGACGAATTACTTCCTCATGACGTATTCCCGCAAAGGACACAACACTTGAAATCTATATCCGATTGGATCAAGTTCTGCTCCCAACATCATTCCCCACCAATTCGAGAACAACTAGTACAATCATTAAATCAGACGAACTATTTACTAAAAAATTCATTGATACAAAACACATTAGTCACAATTATAGAGCAAGATCAACTAGACGACCCAGAAAACATTATCTGGTTCGTCTCTGCCCTATGCATCACTGAACCATCAGAAAAATTGATATTCAAAGTACTTCCATACCTGAAACACCCCAAGCAAAGTGTTCGTGTAGCAGCCTGTCATGTTCTGGAATCAATAGGTGAGAAGGCAGCGACGCCAGAGGTTATCGCCGCTCTTATTAACGTGACGCTAGACGAGCAGGATAATGTTCGTGCAGCAGCCTATCAAGCTTTCGGAAGTATGGGTGACAGAGGAGCGACGTCAGAGGTGATCAGCACTATGCTCAACGGGATCGGAGATAAAGGCGATAACGCTGGCTCAGCGGCATGTACCGCTCTGGGTAGTATGGGTGCCAAAGCAGCGACATCAGCCGTGATCGACGCCCAGCTCAACGCCATACGCAATGGTGCTGGGTATTTGTTCCGAGCAGTCGCCGATGCGTGGGTGAACATGTGGGAAAAAGCATATACGGGCGAGGTGATCGCGGCTGTGCTCAAAGCGGTGCGAGACCCGAATGAAAATGTTCGTGCAGTAGCGTGGCGAGTTTTTGGGAGACTAGGGGAAAGGGGAGCGACACCAGAAGTGATCGCCACGATGCTGGAAGCATTACGAGATGGAGATTCGTACGATCGTCAAGCAGCATGTCAAGCCTTGCATGGCATAGGTGAAAAAGCAGCGACGCCAGAGGTGATCGCCGCTCTGATACACACGATCGATGATAAAGATGAGAATGTCCGTAGAGCAGCCTGTGCAACTCTGGGTAATATCGGTACAAAAGCAGCGACACCAGAGGTGATCGCCGTTCTGGTACACGCGATGCAAGATGCATGCACGTGGGTTCGTAATGTAGCCTGTGAAAGTGTCGGCCGGATAGAAGAAAACGCAGTCACGGATCAGACGATCACAGCAGTGGTCGACGCTATGGGAGATACAGATGAGAGTGTCCGTCGTACAGCGCACGAAATTTTGGCTCAGATGAGTGAGAATGGAGTGATGTCAAAGGTAATCACCGTTCTGGTACATATGATCGACGATAAAGATGAGAATGTTCGTACAAAAGCCTGTATAACTCTGGGTAACATGGGCGACAAAGCAGCGACGCCAGAGGTAATCGACACTATGCTCAAGGCGATGGGAGATGAAAATATGGCAGTTGTTACCGCAGCATGTATAGCTATGGGTAACATGGGTGCCAAAGCAGCGACACCAGTCGTGATCAAGGCACAGCTCAGTGCCATACGCAATGGAGATGAGGATATTTTCACAGCAGCGACTGACGCGTTGGTGAACATGTGCGAAAAGGAATCCACGAAAGACGTGATAGCCGCTATGCTCAACGCGTTTGGACATTCAGCTGAAGTTGTTCGTGAAGGAGCTCGTCGAGTTTTGATGAAGATATGGAAAGAAGCAGTGTCCTCAGAAGTGATTGTCGGTCTGGTGCACGCGATGGAAGATGAAGATGAGGATGTCCGTACATCAGCCTATTTAACTCTGGGTAATATGGGTGAAAACGCAGCTACGCCAGAAGTTATCGCCACTATGCTCAAGGCGATGGGAGATGTAGATTGGTTCAAGCGTAAGGCAGCCTGTGAAGCGTTGGGCAGCATAGGTGAAAACGTAGCGACGCCAGAGGTGATCGCCGCTCTGGTATACGCGATGGGAGATGATGAGGAGAGTGTCTGTATATCAGCGTGTTCGACTCTCGGTAGTATGGGTGAAAAAGCAGCTACGTCAGAAGTTATCGCCACTATGCTCAGAGAGATGCGAGATGGAGGTTGGTTCAAGCGTAAGGCAGTCTGTGAAGCTTTGGCTAGCATAGGTGAAAAAGTTGTGACGCCAGAAGTTATCGCCGCTCTGATACACACGATGGAAGATAAAGATGAAAGTATCCGTAGAACTGCCTGTGGAACGTTGGGCAACATGGGTACAAAAGTAGCGACACCAGAGGTTATCGCCGCTCTAATACACGTGATGGAAGATGAAGATGAGAATGTCCGTACATCAGCCTATTCAACTCTGGGTAATATGGGTGAAAAAGCAGCTACGCCAGAAGTTATCGCCACTATGCTCAAGGCGATGGGAGATGGAGATGGGTTCAACCGTAAGGCAGCGTGTGAAGCTTTGGGTAGCATAGGTGAAAAAGCAGCGACTCCAGAGGTGGTCGCCGCTCTGATACACGCGATGGAAGACGAAGATAACAGTATCCGTACATCAGCCTATTTAACTCTGGGTAATATCGGCGAAAGAGCAGCAACGCCAGAAGTGATCGCCGCTCTCGTACACGCGATCGGCGATGAAGATGACATTGTCCGTACGATTGCCTGTATATCTCTAGGTCGCATGGGTGCCAAAGCAGCGACGCCAGCCATAATCGAGGCCCAGCTCAGTGCCATAAGCAATGGAAGTATGGGTATTGTTCGAGCAGCCACTCAGGTATTGGTGAACATGTGCGAAAACGGGTCTACGGAAGACGTGATCGCGGCCGTGCTAAACGCATTACGAGATCCAGACCAGCTTGTTCGAGCAGGAGCTCGTGGAGCTTTGTTTAAGGTAGGCTGGAAAGCAGCGACGCCCGAGGTGATCGCAGCTATGTTGGAAACTATGCAGGATGGAGATCTGTACGACCGTGGAGCAGCATGTGAAGCTTTGGGTAGGATAGGTGAAAAAGCAGTGACGCCGGAAGTGATCGCTGCTATGCTACACTGTATCCGTGATGATGATGCTGGTCTCCTTTTTGCAGCTCGCCAAGGATTGGTTGAGATAAGTAAGAATGGAGCAAAGTTGGATGTGATCGGTGGCATACTTAAAACGATGCGAGATGAAGATTGGTGGTACTGCAAAAAACTCTTCAAGGTGTTGGAGGAGATGGTTGAAGAAGCAGCAACGCCGGACGTTATCGCCATGCTACTGGATTGGGTCCCAGATGACTTGTTTTCAGCGAGTGAGGTGAGGAGAAAATATCTTAAAGAAATGTTGTATGGATGTACGAGAAAGTTTCATATCGGAGCTGATTTGATAGAGAAAATCCACTCATTCATCGCTCATGATGCATACTTTGATTCTGATGTAATATCAATTGAACATCTACTTAGTGTGTATATACACAGTGGAGATTCCGCTTGGTTACCCTTAATTTTTACTCTGGGCTTGCTCAATGGGATGGCTCTCACAGTGGTACATGGTGGAATCAAAATTCATAAAGGCGGAGAGGCGCAAGATATCGACGTCACTGATCGTTCACTAATCGATCGTTTGATGGAAGTTTTCAAAGTCGAAAAGATAAAGATGATGAACCAGCTGGTCGTTTACGATGGCTAACGAATTGGATGGTGTGATTAGAATCAAATTACCACAAAGGGTCTTACGTGGATTGAACAATTCTAGAGAACAATTCATCGGAGAATATGAACACTTGTAGAAACAGATTTAATCAACTCAAAAGCAGATCGACGCATCTCTCAACGGATGATGTGAAGAGGGATGTGTATTTTAAGTAATAGGTTAGATTCGCAGCTTGCATACCACTGGTTTTGTCTCTTGCTTTAAGAGTCATCAACAGGTATCTATAGAATCTAAAACTAGAGTATTCGGAGCATAATAAAAACATCAATCAACTCTTAATAGTTCAAAAAATTTCAATAATACTATTCGAATAAATGAATGTTTCAAAGAAAAGGAAAACTCAAACAACAAACACTGTAAAATAAAAACGTAGAATACTAAACCCTAGCACTTAAAGAAACTTTTTCGAAGCCCCTAAAGAGTTCATCTCAAAGTAAGAAACCCTTAAAGAGTATTTGAGCAGAGGAGTTATTACAATATAAAATGCATTTCTTTGCATTATCTGAATTTCAAGAACGTATAAAAGACGAGCCAATTCAAGTTCAATAATTCCAGCTGAGGTTGTGGGTATACAATTAGAAAGCACTCTTATGCGCACGCACACCTATCAGAGACTAATATTTAAGCTATTAGAAAACCTTACTTTCATGAGAACCTAACTACTAATAGTGGTAAGTGACTACAACGTTATGCCATATATATATATATAGATAGATAGATATTCTTGACTGAACCATAAATAATCTTAGCTGTTGTAATTCTATAAAAGCAAGTAATTAATCATAATTAGCAAAACAAAACTATCATTTAATATCATGCATATAGCATGATCTGTTTCAGGGTGTAGGTGTGGATATGACTGTTGGCTACAAATAGTGAGATCCGCGCGCTTCTATCCACACTCTCCCCCTCTAAAATTCGTATTAACCAATGGCTTTTAATCACTAGCTATACATTGTATTTAGCAATAACAGCGAGATCCCTAATATGAAAACGATCAAAGTTGTTGGAAGAATACAATCTTGGAGCCACTAATAGGAAATTAATTAATCTAAAAGAAATGCAGAGGGTGGGGATATCTTCAAATACAAGCAACTAATACAGCGACACCCACACTTACGCCCTTATGATGAATTTTGATTTTTAAATGCGTAAGTGAATGAAATGCTCTCCAGTTCGATGAAGATTGGAGAAAATGACGTTCGTATGCGTCAAAAGTGCACATTTTGACGCGCTATATGCAATTGTTTAGAAACAACGATTCTCACAACGTTAATATTCTCCTGTGTCCTTCATTTTACAAAATGCAGAACGGAGAAGCCACTCAAGCTACTGTTTATTAGAATCAACTTAACAGACGCACGAAAGTTTCATCGAAAGCTACAAATGTGTTGACATTTCACGTGCCATTACTTCTGTGTCTACTTGAAAAAAAATACAAGCAGAACTCTAGTGATAATAAGAAAGAAGTACTGTTTTGTCAAGTGTTGCCATATTAGTTTCATGATGTGGCATTGAATTGCTATCATATTAGTCATCGAGTAAGCTGACATTTTCGAGCTATTAATAAAGGTTTGTTTCGCTTGAACTTGATACTTTTATTTGAAATAAAATAAAATAAAAACTGCAAACATGACGACTCAGCTGTATCGAAACAACACTGTTCGTGTAGTTCATGCAGATGAAAACAGAGTTGTGGCTAGCGTACAAAATACAAAATTGGAGATAGGCCGACCGCGAGAAACAACGGTACTGGCATTCGTTCGCAAGACATATCCTGCTCAATATAATCATGTTGTGAGAAACATGAATCAAATGAATTACCAAATGAATACTAAAAACAAAAGTGCTATGCGTGGTGGGCATTTTCTTTTGTACCAATATGTAACTTTATTTGCCATTCTCCTTTCTTTTGCTTTTGATATTGCGAGTATTTATGCAAAACCATGCGCCGTAGCCTCATTTTTAGACCAGTCATATATATTGCATTATCCATCTACAACATTGTGATATATAGACGTAATCAACCTCTACTTCATCCAGTCCTCGCAATATCTGTATCAGCCGAAGCACTTGGCAATATGATTAATGGATTTTATGTCATTCCTGTAAACGCAGCAGTTGTCACCGGAGTGTTTGCTGTTTTTATTGATCCGGCCGTTGTTTTGGAAGCGGTGAAGAGAGAAAACATGCACTTACTGAAATTCACGTTATGTTCTACGACTATATATACCTACGTAGAACCAAACTTCTAAAAGAGATTGTCACTCATTTAATTGTTTTCACGATACTTTTCATTTTTGCAATTATTTTTGTCATTGTATCGCCTGCTTAATGAAATGCATAGGACAAATTATTTACAGTAATAACAATTTAATTCCTTTGAAAAGTTTTTGATATGAATGATGAGTTAGTGCTGTGCGGGTACTCTACTTTTCGAAGAGGAATCGAAGTCGACAAAAACCTTTTTTTTAATGAAAAAAAAAGCATTTTATTTGATTTGTTAAGCATGTAAACGAGTTCGAAGATCATCAAAATAAGGATATGAATGTGCATATTGCCTATCTTTGCACACAATGCGTAAAAATGTTTTTCCATAGGAACTAATGCTATTGTTTTAAACCAGATGAAAGTGAGCCAAAGATGGGATTTATTGGTTTGAAAATGCCTTCTTTATAACTATTATGTTCCATTTCTCGTAAGAGTTTTGTTCAACTTCATTTTTAATTATTGTTCCACTATGTTCAGATACATTCATACCAGGTATTGATGAATGTGGGTGTGTATACACGTGAAGACGGCTCCACATCTACCCACCGACATCCTCAGTCTCTAAGCAGACAAACATTTGGAATAATGCGTTTCAATACTCAATCGGGAACCTCGATTGTGAGTCATTAACGGTCACTATACAAACGTAGGAAACTCGTGTTTTTCGCAGAATTTTCACTTTCAGAGCGCAAAAATCGTTATAAACTACAGTTATGGAGGTTTAAAGGCACACTTATTCCATAATTATAATAACAATGTGTGTAGACGCTCATAATTGTAGTTTATAGCCGTTTTTACGCTTTGAAAGTAAAAATTCTGTGAAAAACATGCGTTTCTAGCGTTTGTATAGTGACCGTTAATGACTCACAATGGCGGTTCCCGATTGAGTATTTAAACTCCTTATTCTAAATGTTTGTCTGCTTGTGCCTCACCCTAAAAAAATTGTTGTGACATTTAGTACAAGAATTGCTACCTTCTCTCTTATTTTTAGATTTTTACTTTATTCAGAGTGTTTTTGGAAGAATCATTTTTTTTTATGAAGAAATCTCTCGGTCTTTACTGTACTGATCATTAGAAAGTTTCGCGTTTGATTTTGAATTGGCTATAGCAGATTGAAATTAATCTATCGTGACATAAAATGGTCAAATTGAATGTTAAGGTGTTTTCTGCTAGATGTATCGGTAAATCAAGGCCAAAGCTGTGATCAGCTTATATTATCAGAAAGAGAAAAGTCTTAGCTACAAAACGATAGGAAAAAATATGACTTTTTGTCGATAGTTTGTACCAAAAAGCAGTCATTTTGACTTTTCGTTTTTGAAAATTCTTTAGCCACGCCAGTCAAAATACTTGATAGCTTCACAGTAAGTAGGATACAGTCTAAGGAGTATTTCAAAAACAATTTTTGAAATGCTCAACTCTTTAATGAATCTTAATATACGACTCGATCAAATTCTATGTGATCCAATCTTTACTACTCATCTAACATTAATAAGGTCTTCATCAAATGATTGTTTCCACTCATTGGGTGTGACAAAATTAGTAAAACTATAACACTCGTGCACACTCCTACACACACAAGATATACGTATATGATTGTTTTCGGTGACATAATATTATACATGAAATCCAATTATCTATTCATACAAATACAGATTCAGTTTATGGTATATGGCTTTGGATGCCAATGTAAGCTTTATTTATTTCATCATTACGAGTTTTGTTGTAAAGTTATATTTAAGAAATAAAATTTCGCTTAAAAAGAAGGAGCATCTAAATATGCTGTAGCCAATGAAGAAGTGGAGAATTCTTTTTCACAGAAATTAAGAGCAAGATATATTTGTGTCTCATTTGCTTTTAAAGGTACTCTAGAATTTTGAAATGAACAATATCGAGGCCATTTACTTACAACATCCAGTGTACCATTGCCAGGACTAAATCGAAATAAAAGTCTAATAATTACATGTAGAGAAAAGAAAATGGCCATCATTACCATTCCGTATAACCTGGTGGTTGTGTTTGCCGATGTGTAATAATATAATAATCTTCTTTGACATAACCTTGTTTAACACCACAGTCAACCAATGAACGTAGTGCATTTAAGGCTTTTTCATTTGGAGATGCCTTTCTGAAGTCACCAATAATACAAATACCTGAAAGATGAAAACTATTACCAGTGTACATGATAAATAAAATTGTTTTCTTACCGTACGCATCATTGTTCCACCCGCGTGAGTGAGCAGCTTGATGATTCCATCCTCGACCTTCATAAACTTTACCATTCTCACCAATTAAAAAATGATAACCAATATCGAACCATTGTAGACCATATTGATGACGATATTGAATCTGTTGTACTCGTTTAGTACATGAAGCATCATCATAACAACTATAAACAGTCAGTTTAATTCAATGACTTTATACAGGATAGATATACTTTGAAGAATCAGCAGAATGATGAATGACATAGAATGGCAGGGATTTACTGGGTAGATTTGCTTTTAAAATTGGTTTTCGCGCACCCCATTCAGCTCGATCAACAAACGAAATGTCATCACATGTCGATTGCGAATTAACAACAGTAAGATAAAACAAATGATAAGCGAAAAATATAGTTTTCATGTTTCTTTGTTACAGCGTTTAAGCAAAAAATTATCAAATATTGAGTATACTCGTAGTGTGTTATTGCTTTTATTTCTATCAAGTTTTTAATAGAAAAGAGAAAACAACCATTTGCATTTTACCTGAAAAAGGAAATATATTAATTATGTGCATATATAATGTATTATTGAATTTAATCAGCTAGCTTTGAAAATGTACGATATAAAACTTGAGCAAAATCACGACGATCACATAAAATTTCTGTAATGTTATTTTCAACTGGATAAAATACCAGTCTCTTCGAGTCAATAACTATTTAAATTCAAGTACCATATAATAAATGCTTATAGTTACTTGAAGACGGCTTCAGCTACTAACTCCCAAGTATTGATTAAATATTCTGCTAGTTATTTATTCAAAATGATTTGATTTAAAATACAACTACCTTTTAAATTACGTAGGATAATAATAAAAAAAGTAGATCTATGCTTGAAGATTAAAGTTAATCGTGTTGGTCGTGAACTAGAGGTCTAGATTGGATGCAAGATTTAACTCCTGTTGTATTGAAAAACGGTGGTTTGGTGCGACTTTTAGTTGATTTATTTCCTTTCGTAAGAGACGGGTTGATCGTGCGAACGGTTCACGTCCCTGATAGATACTTGAATCTAGGCTTATTGAAAGATTGCTTTACATATGACGAACATTCTTATCACTTTGTTCAATTATTTCAGCTGAATAAATCAATCAATCAAATAGACCTCGATGATAAATTCCAAAAAAAACTATATAAACTAATTATCTTCACTGAATTCAATTATCAAAAGCAACAAATCTAAAACAAAGTTCTTTAATTCATAGTTTGACCAGGATGGACAAATATTGACATAACATAGTTGGTCAAACTACGTGTGCAAAAAACGAATAGATATAAAAGTACGTTCAAATAGTCCCCCTCAAGACAAGTTGATCCATAACACTTCAAAGCAACGGAACCATGTATCTAGGGAGTTTTCACTCATATTTTTTTTAGATGGAATACTTAATACTCTATTAGAATATAATTGCATATGGCCCTTATGAATGCAGTTTATTTAAAATATCGGAACGAATTGACGGAAAACGTCGAAAAGAAAAATACTGATGGGTAAAAATAGCGAAAAAAAGTGGGAGAATATCGAAAACGGATATACAACACCCTAAAATAGCGAAAGAGAAAAATAGCGATAGGAAAATAGCGAAAAAGGAAAATGTCGAAAAAGACGTATAACCATAGATGTCTATGTTCCTCTACTACACTAGAGTTTTCACGATTATTGGTCACTATATCGTTTTATTTTGTTTTCCTCTACCTTATTCCTATTCATTTATTCACAATAAATTTTACATATAGTCCGCTACCAACTATAGTCTTTTCTTTCACGATTTATTTAACCAACTTTTCATGGCTGATACAGCTACAAACGCTATGTCTTCAAGTTTATCATCAACACCAGTATCCGTTATATCTTTTTTAACATCAAACAAAGGAAAACCATTGTTGGTGTACAATAATCATTTATTTAGGTGTAATAAAATAGTTCCCTTGAAGAAGTATTGGGTTTGTAATACTCGTGGCTCTAATGTATTTGTGCACACGAGTACAAGAAATGAATTTTTATCAATTAATGGAAACCATAATCATGCTTCTGAACCTCATGTATTGGATGTGAAAAAAGTAAAAAGTAAAATGAAAGAGCGTATTTTGAACGAAACAACATCGGTTACAAAAATGTATGACTAGGAGATCAAACAAGCTTCTCTTTCTCATGAAGCAACTGCTGCAGTTCTGTCTGTTATTGAATTTCGTATGTATATTCATTTCAAAAAATTATTACAGAAGACATTATCGTTGCCTTTTTATATTAGGTTCGAACATGAGTAAAACTCGTCGAAAACAGACTTCTGTTATTCCGAAGTCTTGTGCATTCGAGTTACCATTACCGTATCAACAAACCATTGCTGGACAAAGATTTTTATTCATGGATTATTTCGTGAAACGCGCTAAAGAACGTGTACTTCTATTTTCGAGCGATGAACAATTGAATTTACTCTTTTCCAATGATATTATCTTTATGGATGGTACTTTCAGTACAGCACCAAGTAATTTTGATCAAGTGTTTTTGATTCATATTCAAAATTTTAATCAAGGTAAATGTTTTTATCATCGTAGAATTTGTATAAATTTTATTACTCTTATGGCAGGTTTACCAGTGGTGTTTTGTTTATTACCTAATCGCCGAGCAGCAACTTATGCAGAAATGTTCGAACGTTTAAAACAAGAAGCCATGAAAATGAATAAAACATTCGACCCGGAAAAAAATAGTTTCTGATTTCGAATCATCACTTCTTTCAGCAGTTCATACGGTAGTAAGTTGTTTTTGTTACTAGTTTTACCCTTCGTAGTTCTGATTTTTTTTCTAGTTCCCGAATGCTTCACATTCAAGTTGTAATTTCCATTTTGCGTAAGCAGTTCATCGAAACATACGTGCATTAGGTTTAGCATCTGAATATAATAACGATGAAACTGTTCGAGAACAATGCAAAGGTTTAATAGCTTTATCCTTTATGCCGGTGTCTGAAGTAGAACAGCAGTTCAACCGTATTCGTGCATTGGCTTTACCAGCGTTAGAAGAATTATTCATTTATTTCGAACGACAATGGATTAAAGGTAACATACCATTAGTTTTATGGAACTCAAGTCAATGCAGTCCTCGGACAAATAATATTTCAGAGGGTATGAAAGAACATATAATAAAGCTAAAGCGATTTAAATATTTTCTTGTGTATGAATTTTAGCGTATAATCGTCGTTTTGGAAGTTGTATCGCTAAAACACATCCAAGCCTATGGACATATATAAAATTAATTCAGGATGAGCATGTGAGATTTGAGCACATGCATATCCAACTTACTACTGACATTTCAAGTTCGAAACAATCGAAAAATAAATCTGCATTCGAACGACGATATGAAGTATTAAATAATAGATTTAAAAATGGTGAAATAAACTCAAAACAGTTACTGTCGGCTTTAACTTTATTATTAGCGCACAAAAAAAATTTGATAAACACTTTTACTGCTTTTTAAAATAACTTATGAAATAAAATAACACGATTTTACTCAATGAAAAAATATTTTTTCACTACCTTTTCTTTTCGACATTTACCACCAAACCCTATCGGAAAACTCATTGCGACTCGAGTATATTGCTACTTCGTCTTCTTAATTCTACGAAGTTGAATATAAGCTAACAAAAATAAACCAACAGTCATCATTGATAATCCAAAGAAGTTTTTCCATAAATCCCAATTGGTTGTATAATCTAAACCGACGTTATGTAGAACCTGTGAGCCTGGTAATGGGCAAATATTCGTTGAATTGACTAGACAAAAGTCAATATTGCGAAATTCACTCATTGTTAACATATTCGTTGCATATCGAAAAGCACTAACCCATTGAAGCCATGACAACCAACTGAATATACTTTTTAATGCTATAAGATAACCACTGAAGAGCATCACTATCAAAAAGTTAAGAATAACGATGATCACGGCAACACCTGAAAGGAAACAGATAATCATAAAATACCAATTGATAAATTAGAAATTTCTGTGTTGTTGAAAAATGCTTGAAGTGGAAACGAAAACTTACTAAATAAACGAACTGTCGCTGCAACAAGAAGGCACATCGACGATCCGAATAGACTTGCCATAAAAATTGTAATAAGAAAAACACCGAATTTACCAATATCGCGTTCTAAACCCGTCATAAAATAAACGATGAGCGAGAAAAGAATAGATACAATAACTCGTATAAGTAATATGTCACATAAGAATTTAGCACAGAAGAAGGTTATTGTTCGATAATAACCACTGGCATTTTCCTATAAGTCATGAAATTTCTTTTCATTATTACTTCAAATGAAAAACTTACATGAATAAACAGAGCACGTTCTTTAATTAATGGTTCTAATGCTGTTAGTGTACTAAAGATTTGTGTTACAACAATAACAAATATTACACCTAAACGATTTTGTACTCCTGGGTCAGTTGTTTTTTTCAAATCGAAAAATACGAGTCCAACTAATAGTCCTAAAATAATCGACACGACTATTTGTGATAGGATTAATGATGGATTGCGAAAAGTATTTTTTAATGTCCGCAGACAAATATAGTAAAATTCATTCCAAAGAGATATTGTTGGTTTAGCTGATTTTCGACTAGTTCGTATTTGAAGATTTACATCAATAAATTGTTGTTTTCGAAGTTTCATAACATGTTGATGCATAGAAGATTTCTCATAGGCTAGTCTCAAATTTTCCAATGCACCGGGCCTTTCCTGTGCATCGATGAGAACATCAATGACAAAATCAGCCGGATTATCATGAGGCTCACATGAATAACCTTGTTGAGAAAAATAATTTAACAGATTTTTTGCTTGCCCATGATACAACATTTCACCCTCAGACAATAGGGTTACTGTGTCGAAAAGTTTAAATATCGAATAACGTGGCTGATGTATTGAAAAGATAATAGTACCTATAATATAAATTTTGTAAGATTATTATTCTAGAAACCGATGGTAAATAGGTATTGAACTTACGTCCTTGTTTTGCTAGATTACTTAAACATTTCATTACTTTTCGAGCTGTGGCTGCATCGAGTCCTATTTATAAATGATATATATGTATGGTTGTGTTTGTACAAAAGCATTTTTCGTCATGTTTTCCACTCGAGAGTATTGTTAGAATAGGGGGATTTAGTTTCTACAAAAGTCAACAAGAATCATAAATTTTCGATATTGAAATAAATCTTGTTCCTTTTTTGTTTCTAGAAAATATCTAGGAACATTTGAATCATTTCATCAGAGAGCAAACCTGTAGTTGGCTCATCAAGGAAAAATATTTTCCGTGCTAGTATAAGTTCCATTCCGATGCATGCTCGCTTTCGTTCACCACCAGATACACCTCTGATAAACTCGGTACCAACCGTTGTATCAGCACATGATTCAAGTCCAAGATCAGAGATAACCTTTATCACTCGTTCTACACGTTCAACATGAGACACGTCACGAGGCAGACGAATATTCGCTGAAAACATGAGATTTTCTCGTATTGTAAGTGTCTCGGAAATGATATCATCTTGAACAACATAGCCGACCATATACTTGAATGAACTGGGTGCTGGCGAGCCATCGACAAAAATTTGGCCAGATAAACCATGGCGATCTTTACGATTGGCAAGAATATCAAGTAGAGAAGATTTACCACATCCTGTTGAACCTAAAAATATTCGAATTTAATTATAGATCGATGATCTAATTGCAACATAATCAGACAAAAATAGCATTTTGAATCAGCAAACTCAATTGAATCATGGACAATATCTAATTATTTTATGAATCAGAAAAATGTTAAGTTTCATTTTAGCTTTTAATTTAAAAAGCTTTTGACTACTTCAGACTTTTTCATGATGCATAATAATGGAAATCTTACCCATAATTGCATGCATTCCCGTTTTAAAATTACCGGATAGACCATATAGAATTTGTTTGGCTGGTTTTTCTTTTAAGAAAGATGGACATATATTTGGGCACTTACATTTCATTTTTCTGCCATTAGCAATATAATCGATATCATAAAATGAAACTTCTCCTTTCGATGAGGAGTTTATCGAAAGTGGAACGAATTTATGATGGCTAGTCGTCGATAAATAACGATAAGATTTGACGTCAATATCATAGACAGAATCATCTCGTTTTGAAGAAATAATAGCTGATTTCATTTTTGTATTCTTTGAATCATGATTGAAACTGGAAGCCACTTGCCTGAATAAAATAATCGAAGATAAATACACTGTATTTACTCTTATAAAGCACGCAATGTTAAAGCCTTGGAAGCATCGATAATTTCGAGTGGAGATGGTACCTACATCTTCAACCTATACTCGTTCATCTCCTTATACTTACCTGAATTTTTATTTCAAAGCATAGCTATCTATAATTGGTGTTTCTCGAAAATTCATAGCAATAGAATTTGTTTTGCTAGGCATTTCAACATTTTCATTCAAAGATTCCAATTCTAGTTGAAGCTTGTTCAAACGTGTCCCAATTGAAAATTTAGAACAACGCATTCAATAGTATCTAATATGTTTGTCTTTTCAGCTAAATATTTACTGTTGTCGACTTGGTAGCGTGGCTATCTTGCGACCTTCAGTGCTATTTGGAAGCTGATGTTCGTTGGATGAATGCAACATATTTACTGAAATAAACAACATTAGTACACTGATAAAAAAAGAGCGCCAAATGATAAACGTTTAAAGAATTTATGAAAATGCAACGTATGATATACTATTTTCTACCGTTTAGCAGCATGCGATAAACCCTTTTGTCTACCCATCAAAAGATGAAATGAAAAGGTTTATCAAGTGAATATACCGCGTGCGGAAATGTCTATCATAGCGTTTATACGACTGAACAACTCTCAACGGTTGTATCATACGTTGCATTTTCATAAACCCTATCGAATGTGTTAGAGAGTACTCTGACAAGTTATTTATTTATTCTTATACATTCTTGTTTCGTCTTTATACGTTATATATTTCTTATATGCACAATCCAACTCTAGATGCACATACACCAATCGTTCTTTTTCATTCTTTCCTTCTTCTTTCGTCCCGTGCGTGACGACGTAAATAATGGCATCGTCTCTTAGACAGGAATTTAAGTACATTTATAGAATGATGCACCATCATCTTTATATACAAAATAGTCTAGTCGAAGAAACAAATGCCTTTTCTTCCTTTGTTTCTCTCTCTCTCTCTCTCTCTCTCTCTCTCTCTCTTGTTTCTATTTTGTGAATTGATTTAAGTTACCGCGGGACCTCTGTAACACTTTGTATCTCAGCTTTTTTAATATCTTCTTATTAAACACAAAAATCCATGTTTATCTTTCCTCATTTTTGCTCTCATTATTATCTGTACTGCTATATTGTAAAAATCAAACGCATCGCTAGTGTAAAAATATCGATGATCGAATAAGACTACTTACCAGCCGATATCAAAGTGCTTATTTTTTAATGTGAGTCTGCAAGAGGTATCACCTTGTATATATAGGAGTTACATATTTTTTCATTTTTTCTAACATAAAATGTTTACCTGAGTCAATGAAGTGTGACCCTAATTTCACTGCTTCTTAATTTCGCATATCAAAATATTCCTTCATGTACACCGCCAGTTCGCCAAATAAGTGATTCATATTTTTCTTTCAATTGGGACCAGTGCAAAAAAGCGATGGGCATCCTACTATTTCTTTTCATCAAGTTAGCGCGTCGGTGACTGTGTAAAATAACATTAGCCAGGCCTAGACCCTCACACTGAAACCCTAAGAAATCATTTTTGACACCAAGGTAAAATAATCAACCCCTATACGTAGAGTAATAAACCTTTCCGATCAAACAGTAGAACAATCGATCTCTGTACGTAGAATGATAAACCGTTTCAACGAAAGAGAAGTAGAATCAACCATCAGCCGACGATGAAACTATCCCTTGAGATGCTAAGGTAGATAAGCCGATATTTGTCAGTAGAATAAAAGAACCTGTCAATGAAGAGGCATAGAATCGAACATTCACGTACAGTACTAAACCCTTTTTATTAAGATGTAGATAAATCAACTGTTGAACGTGGAATACTAAACCCTTAGCAGGAAATGGTAGTAGAATCTACCCTTAGGCGTAGAATAATGAACTGTTTCTGGAATGGTAGCTTACTCTACCCAGAAAGGCAGAGTGATGTGCCTTTTTAACGAAAAAGTAAAATAGTAAACCCGACAACGAAGAATAAAATACCCCTACCTTAAAAACAAACAGCAGTCTACTATCATCCGTTGAAGGATATACTCTTATCTTAAAATCATAGAATAATGAATCCTTATGTACCCATCATATACCCCTTGAGTTTCCATAAACCCATCAAGGGTTTTATGTCAACTTTTTGAAGTACAGGAGTAGATCATTACCCGGATTCTTTGATCAGTGTATCGATAGATAGGTCAAGAAACTTGCTTAGTTATGATAGAAAACCGGAGCTGCTCTGTGTATCCTATTCACACAGTAGATCAGATGTTAAGGTATAGATGAATAGAAGACCTAAGTCTGTAGTCAAATCCTAGAGAGATGCTCATATCAATCAATATTTGACGATTGAATATCGAATGCTTCTCCTCGAAAATGTCTGCTGTTAAAGTAGCCTAGTACTTCGTAAACAATTGACACATATCAAGGTACAAAAACTAAAGAACTTACATATTAGTGTTCTGTTTAATTCCGATCTAAAAAAAAGCTAATGACATATTGGTAGATTAATCGACAAGTATCATTTGTTTGGAAAAGAAGTAAAAGCTATTTTCACAAGAAAGACTTAAAAGAATGAGAAATACATTGTCAATTATACTGTTCTTTACCGTGACACAATTTTTACGAGTAGTTATGCAAGGAAAATAAAAGTATCGAAAAATACGTGTTACATAAGTATATACATACATTAGGACAAAAACTCTACCACCGTAACTAACAATTATTTTTTTTGCGTGTTTAATGAATATATTCTCCTCTTCTGTACTGACGTATTATACATATCACGGAAGTATTGAATTTGTTGCAGCTGGTAATATATTTACCTTAATAACCAAACAAGTTTTAAGCATGTGAGTTGCATCAGAAAAAATTAAAACACTTTTTCATCTACAATTAATAGGGCTAATTAAAAATAGATTTGTCTTCTTGCTGTTTTATCTCAAAACATGTAGATTGAGGTATAATTTTGATACCTAATTGCTTGTCTTGAATTAGCAATTTACCAATAAATACTCTATAGCCATACGTTGCTTAAAATTAAGATTTGCTGGTCTATGAAACTGCTGAAGTTATCGAATCGAAACAAGTCATATTGAGTTATATATCGTAGATAAAACAAATCTCGCTATTTTTCTAAAATATGTTCTATACTGAAAACCATACTTGTTATTGAAAATAAATGTGTTATCAGATGCAGTAAATTTCATGTGCATTCAATTTGCAGAATAGTTTAATAAATGAAAGAAAGTATCGTAATAAAAAATACAGATAATAACGATAGATGCGAGTCAACTGAGTCTCGTTAATTATGGCTTTGAATCAATCATACATATTAGCACTATGTTGCTTCGAATGTTGCTGCTAATGACTTGTTTTTTCTCGATGAAAGTAGACAAGACTACTGTCAAATGAGAACAGGAGAGGAGAAAGAGAAAATTGAATATCATCAATATTCATTATTAAGCTACTTATCCTTCTACTGAAAGTAGATAGTGATTTGATTTGGAGCAAATTATGATGGTTCGTTGATTAAGATTTTTGCTCATAGATTAGATCGATAGAAAGACAAAAATAAACTCGCATAAAAAACATGATATATCGATAAATATGTGTATCCACTCGATGAATGTATTTTGTCAGTATCTCTTTTAGTTTTCGACTGAATTTTATTTTCGAAAGCTACCTCGGTCAATTCTCCACAAATCGTAAGCAAAGTAAGAGTCATATAGATGAATGTTAGAAGGTTATTGTAATAATATCACGAACAAGCACATCTATTAAAACTGATTTTCCTTGATGCCTACTAACAAAACAGCGTTCAAGAGCTGTGAAATAGTGGTCCGGATTGAACATATTTGAATATTTTGCTGACACCTACTCGACCAAAAATATTATTTATTCGGAATTAAGCCAGACTTCCACAATGAGCCATACGAGTATGCATATTCTCATGAAAATCGTAATTGACGATCACGTCATCGCCTCAAAATACATTCATACTTTTTGCTACATTGTTTCCTCTACTGAAAGGAGGGTATTACGAAAAGCGAGTAATGCGTTTGTTCGTTCGCACAGAACAAAACAAATGTTTTTTTTGGCCTCCTTCATGGAAATGCGCTAAAACGTTTGTCTGACAGCTTTTGGGGTCGAGGAATCCGAATCCGGTGGTATTTGTTTTTATAAGGGTTGACCAAAAGTTTTTGGGGCGGCGTTATTCGATTTCAAGTGTAGTTTTTCAAAAGAATTTGTTGAGTGTTTTAATGAACAAAGACAGTGGCACAGAGGTCTACTACACAGAATGAACACATGAGTTTTTTGAAAAATAAAACTAAGACACTAGCAACTGACGAGTGAAAGGTTTTTCGAAATCATTTAGGAGTACATTAAAGACATTATTAGTGGTTATGATCCTAAACAAATAAATACGGTTGATGCAAATATGATAACGGCTGTCACTGAATTGAATATTAAATGCTTAATGATCTTTCATAGCTCAAGCAAGTTTATAATGCATTAGGAGCTGTTAAAATTGTCCGATTTTCACGATAGGAATTATTTGTAGGGAAATTTTTTAAGGGTACCATTCGATGATATTTATAATGGTAGATGTATCGTATGTTCATATGAGATCTTATTTGGAATAGGCTACAGACATCTTGCGGTGAAATTGATTCTCAATTTGGCAACGGCTAGCCCGTGAATGGCGCTCCGGAGGGGCGCAGACGAACGACTAGCAGTTCACCTACCTTGGTCGTTGTTTCATTGCTTAAGAAAAATTTATTATTTAAGCAAGCATGGTTTTGGAGAATGCTGTGCTAAAGTCCTTTTCATCAAGCAGTTGAACATAACTACATGTCTGTATTTTGTGTATGAACACTAAGACGTTGAAGGCTTTTTTGCGAAGTCTTCAGTTTATACTTGATATGTCAACTTTTATTGTAGCGCGAAGAATTTATTCAAACTTAGCACCTAGAGTTCTAGATTGTCACATCTACGAACGTTCGAAAACTGTATAAGTACGTCGGAATCTTGTCCTATTTTTCTCAAAATTGTGACGAATTTATCGCATATGTAGATCAAACTGAATTAGATTAGTCCCACAACTGTTGTTTTCAGGTTTCCTGAAAATTCTCTTTGTTTTCATCTAATAATTATATAATGAAGCGAAGCTTTCAATCAATCATGCAGCGTTTAAAAGGACCACGTTCCCTGCATACATGAAACAAAACTATTGGAGGCGACTAGCCGCTCAGTTAAAAATCTGTTATGATTATAAGACTACAGGCCTTGGAGACTTATAGAATATTTACACGTTGTCTCGATTAGAAAAGTTGAAACAATTTTCGAAAATGGTAAATATCTTCAAGTTCTTCCAAAGAAAGATCGTGAAATAATTGCTCAACTCGTGTGAAATATTTGAAATTTATATTTGTCGCGAATATCTAAATAAGTTTAGTTTTCCTGATTGCGAGTGGATTTGATTCAAAAGATGTAAATGTTAGATTTTTCTGTCTGTGAAAGTATACCCGGGAATGAATATATGCATTCTACACGGAAAACGCACCGAAACAAAATGAACCCAGATGGATTTGAGCAAAAATGAGGACAAATCTAACCGAAATCGAGTTTTAAAAAGTCAGTTTGGTTTGATCTATGATTTACTCGTACAGATTCATGTTAAATATCTAGTTCATAGAACAATTTGAGTTGTAACTTTACTAAAATGGAGAATTTCGATCATAGCTTTCCTGAAGGAGTCTTTTTCTTCATTACGTTGTCAAGCTGATCGAAAGTTTTCGGAGCATAGCTTGAGCTGTAGCAGATCGGATGCGCTTAACTTCACTATCGGCATATACTATTGGTAAGTACTAATTAAATCCCATTTTCTTGGTTATACTTCGAAGCAAGTTTTCTATTTATGCTCGGTTATCAACCGTTTTTTCAATGAAAATCATTTCGAAGCTCGCATAGCTACGTTTTACATGACTAAATCCTTTCAGTAGAAGGTTGGCGACGCAAACATCGCGTTACCTTGTAAACTTTGACGCAGGATCATATTACTGTTTTTATATTTACAGTGAAATCTTTTCGATAAAGCGACAATTAGAGAGTTAAAAAATCATTTTTTAAACATATGCATGGTGAAGTGTTTTCACTCAGATAAAAAACAAAACAAGTATGAAATTGTAACTACCGAGAATGTTCATACTTCCATGTGCCCGATCGATCATTCAAGTGAACAAATTGGTAAATATTCCATGATGTACTTATACAGTAGAATCTTTCATAGTGGGTCCCTCTCTATACTGGACACTAACCATGAATCCAAAGAGTATGCCGTAATTGTAACGAAATATGATTAATATCAATAATTATATTTCGAATGAATAGGGATTGAGTACCAAAGATATAGAATTGCGTATATATCGAGATAAATAATCGATAACAAATTATCGATGCTTATAACGTGGTACAACCAAGAGTGTTTGGATAATGCAGAATTGTAGTAATCTATTTAATAATGAGTTTACAATAAATAAGACAGTAATAACGCTGATAATTATATAATGTATGTGTTACACACAATAATTTTCTGTGCATGTTTCTCAATGCACGTCAAGTCAAACTGTTTTCCGACTACGTTGTACTGTTAACTATTTCTAACTAGTTCTGTTCCTGAACAACTCAGAACTAGCAACTATCTAAAATTGAACCCCTATTTCATATATCTCGCGAGTTTATATATCCGAGAGAGAATAAGGAAAATATAAATAGGAGAGAACGGCACGGAGAGAGCGAGAGAAAAGATATATAGGAATAAAAGGATACACAGAAGGATTGCATACTGTTCAGTGGGCGATTATGTGTTGTCACCTACAAGAATGTCCATTAGCAATGTAAGTTCAATTATGTCACGACTATATGTTCGTTAGTAATATGACTTTTAAGTGGGCATCCAGCGGTTTCTATGCCCCCCCCCCCATTTAATCGCGCCCTACACGAGGGGCCTAATTCTTGGGACATCGATGACTTGTACATGGACGTCCGTTATCTGTTCTGACCCCTTAGCTATCTCATCCTATAGGAGCCACACGTTTCTTGGCGCAGTGATGATCATCGCTACATTAAAAAATGTGCCTTTGCTCTATCACTATTACAAGAAAAATGCGATTATGCTGAATAGACGAACTTTAACTCTACAAGCAAAATCGTACGAATCAAAGGCACCCAGGTGAAAGGAAACGGCCCGTAAACGGCCCGAAACAGCATAAAAACGATGTAAAACGTTAAAAGACGGCGTCGTTTTCCGTCAGCTCGAAAAACAAAGAGAATAGTGTTAAAAGCGATGGCCGGTTTCTAGCAAAAAAACGGCCCGTAAAACGAGCTGACGGATTACGGCGAAATAGGGTGAAAATTAATGCCGTTTTATGTCGTTTTATAGCCGCGTCAGGCCGTTTCCGATGGCCTTTCAGACGGCAGGATGATCCTCCTGGGCAATCAAAAATGATTGTCTTTGGTCAACACATAGAGTATAGAAAAAAATAGTGTTACCTAGTTTTAATCGGTGCGAAAAATGATCTGATTATATACCTTTAACTCGAACAAAGGCATAAAATGAAAGCATAGCGACGAAATTAGTCAAGCAAAGTTCTATCAAAAGCTATTTTGAAAAATAAACTTGAAAAGAAAATTTATACTGTAATCTATGTGACTATCTTATTCATAAATGCTTGCGACGTTTAAAAGAATGTGTGTATTTTTAAAAGAGAAAATAAATTTTGAAAATGCATAGCCTAACTATGAACATTATACAATTCACAAAAAAAAAATGGTGAAATATATCATTTTCTGTATAGATATTTATGTATACTCTTGAAGGTTTATTGAACTGCTACCCACTAAATTGAATATCATAATTAATAATATAAAAAATTTTAACAGCAATGATTCGTGTTCGTGTTTCACAAGTATTGTTAATCATTTCTATTTATTGGAAAAACTTTCAATTAGAACACTTTTAATCATCAAATCGATTAAATATTAAAATTTTCATTGTCAATCATTAGTGACGAAGGTTTGTAGAAATTCTCAATAGATGAACTACATCAATACGTCTCTTTTATGCATGAAACAAAACACTAGATTTTCGCACAGATATGAATCAATTTTATCTTCATATTGATCTTGAAGGTGACAAGAATTTCACTTATAAGAAGATGCATTTAAATATGCTGAAGCCAATGAAGAAGCTGGGTATTTTTTTCACAGAAATTAAGAGCAAGAAATATTTGTGTTTCATTGACATTTAAACATTCTCCAAAATTTTGAAATGAACAATATCGAGGCCACTAACGCACAACATCCAGTGCACCATTGCCAGGACTAAATCGAAATAAAAGTCTAATAATTACATGTAAAGAAAAGAAAATATAATGATTACCATTTCGTGTAACCTGGTCGTTGTGTTTGCCGATGTGTAATAATATAATAATCTTTGACATAGCTAACCTTGTTTAACACCGCAGTCAACCAATGAACGTAGTGCATTTAAGGCTTTTTCATTTGGAGATGCCTCTCTGAAGTCACCAATCATACAAACACCTGAAAGATGAAAAACATTGCCAGTGTAAATGATAGATAAAATTGTTTTCTTGCCGTGCGTATCATTGTTCCGTCCTCGACCTTCATAAACTTTACCATTTTCACCAATTACAAAATGATAACCAATATCGTCCCATCCAAAATAATTTCCATGACGATATTGCTGCATTTGTTGTACTCGTTCAATACATGAGATGAGACATCATCGTAACAACTATAAATAATCAATTTAATTCAATAATTTTCTATAGAATACAACTACTTTGAAGAATCATCAGAATGTCAGGGATTTACTGGGTAGATTTGTTTTTGAAAATGATTTTCGCGCACCCCATTGAGCTATTTTTGAACAAATGAGTAGAATAAATAAATAGTTGAGAAATATTATCTTTTACTTAACAGAATAAAAAACTAAATTATGTTTTTTAGCAAATTGATATGAAATACGTAAAAAGTTTATAGATAAAAATTATACAAATCGGCCGAGAAAAAGATTCTCGTTGATTAGAAACAAGAGAGAATTATGATTTTTTTTGAATAGCCAACTTGAGAAAAATCAGGAAGGTCATATAAAATTTGTATAATTCTGCTTTCAGTTGGATTAATGTCAATCTTGGCAAGTCAATAACTATTTTAAATTCAAGTGCCAAGTAATAAATATTCATAGCTTCTTGAAGAAAAATTCTGCTACTGAATTTTAAGTATTAATCAAGCAATCCGTTACTTATTTATGCAAAATGATTTGTTGTACTATACGATTACCATTTTTCAAAATGTCGAATAAAACCTAATCCGTATGCATTCTGTATTTCATGGTACGATATAACTACTTTCAGAAAAGCGCAGTGAAGGAGTAAAACATCCTATCTTGAGAAACTTTTCGCTTTTCTATAGCAAAATTTTAGCATTATGTTCATTTTCTTTACAAAACAATATTCAAAAGTAGTCGAATCGTGACAACCTGCTTCGAACATAAGGCTGTATTCAAATAAGATCACATTATTGATGTTTTGAATGGAAATATTGTATTGGTTTCGATACTATCTTAATAGTAATAATAAGCTAAAGCAAAGTTAACATAATATTTGACTTCTTTTCTATGCAGCTTCGTTTTCTCATCTATACTGGCTTTCTAATTGTGTTTTATATGCAGAAATTCGTTCTTAGTTGGCTGTTACTGCCTTCACAATGTGATGTGAAAAACAGTGGCGCTGGTGGGCATGGGCACCACCCTGAAGCCTTTTTAGTGAGTGGAAAGGTTGTGCGCTCCATGCTAATTCGCTGTGGGCCTTTTCATATATTGGTTTTTAAGATTCGTTTTCAAAAACGTATTGATTAATATTCTTTATGACATATTAGTAGAAACAATGTGGGATGAGTATTATCAGTCAAAGACCGACACATGGTAAAGTAGTGAAAATAAAGCGTGGAAATTCTATTCAAAAAGTATAGATAAAGAAATTGCAAGTCGACTTGAACAATGAATGTGTATCTGTTTATTGCAATAGTAAAAGTGCTGAACGAAAAGTTTAAAAAATATTCTTTGCAACATCTGCCATTTAGTTCAGATTTTACTAAGGTTAACAGTCATTATACTTCATTTTTAACGCAGATTAGTACTGAATCAATTTACCTTTGTGTTTAATTTTTAGTTTATCTGGAAGAAGACAAAGCATACAGCGTTCCATCAAAATTAACTTAATCTTCTCATTTGAACTCCAAGAGATTTTTAATAATGTTTCCTGTTGTAGCAAATCATTTTCGATAGTTTATTTGATTGAAAGTGAAATTTCACAGTTTAGTCATTTGTAAGATGCTACCTAGTTGATTCTGAATTAAATTTTTGCAAAAAACACAAGTACTCAATATTGATTGATGGGTAACACTTCAAAGCAATAAAAATGTGTATCTATTAAATCGTCATTCGAATAATTCTTTTTTTGACATGGACTCCATTAGACTATAACTACATACAGTCATTATCAACTAAATTTATTTAAAATATCACAAAAACATCATTGTGATTCAAATGTTTTCTTCGAAATATATTGTTACTTTGTCTTCTTAATTCTAAGAAGTTGAATATAAGCTAACAAAAATAAACCAACAGTCATCATTGATAATCCAAAGAAGTTTTTCCATAAATCCCAATTGGTTGTATAATCTAAACCGACGTTATGTAGAACCTGTGAGCCTGGTAATGGACAAATATTCGTTGAATTGACTAGACAAAAGTCAATATTGCGAAATTCACTCATTGTTAACATATTCGTTGCATATCGAAAAGCACTAACCCATTGAAGCCATGATAACCAACTGAATACACTTTTTAATGCTATTAGAAAACCACTGAAGAGCATCATTATCAAAAAGATAAGTATGACAATGATCAAGGAAACACCTACAAAAAAAAACGATAGCCGAACAATTCATATTAATACATTAGCAATTTTGTTTTAACTTTAAGAGCAAAACTTACTAAATAAACGAATTGTCGCTGCAACAAGAAGACACATTGACGATCCAAATAGACTTGCCATAAAAATTGTAATAAGAAAAACACCGAATTTACCAATATCGCGTTCTAAACCCGTCATAAAATAAACGATGAGCGAGAAAAGAATAGATACAATAACTCGTATAAGTAATATGTCACATAAGAATTTAGCACAGAAGAAGGTTATTGTTCGATAATAACCACTGGCATTTTCCTATAAGTCATGAAATTTCTTTTCATTATTACTTCAAATGAAAAACTTACATGAATAAACAGAGCACGTTCTTTAATTAATGGTTCTAATGCTGTTAGTGTACTAAAGATTTGTGTTACAACAATAACAAATATTACACCTAAACGATTTTGTACTCCTGGGTCAGTTGTTTTTTTCAAATCGAAAAATACGAGTCCAACTAATAGTCCTAAAATAATCGACACGACTATTTGTGATAGGATTAATGATGGATTGCGAAAAGTATTTTTTAATGTCCGCTGACAAACATAGTAAAATTCTTTCCAAATAAATTGCTTTAGTTTAACTGATTTTCGACCAGTTCGTATTTGAAAGCTCTCATCGATAAACTGTTGTTTTCTACGGTTCATAACATATTCACACATAGAGGAATTTTCATAGGCTAGTTTTAATTTTTCCATTTTGTCGGAATTTTCCTTTGCATCAATGAGAACATCAATGACAAAATCAGCCGGATTATCATGAGGCTCACATAAATAACCTTGATGAGAAAAATAGTCTAGTACATTTCTAGCTGGCCCGTGGTACAACATTTCACCCTCAGACAGGAGAGTGATTGTATCAAAAAGTTTAAATATCGAATAACGTGGTTGATGTATTGAAAAGATAATAGTACCTAGAATATAAATTTTGTAAGATTCTTATTTTAAAAGCGAACGTTAAATAGATATTGAACTTACGTCCTTGCTTTGCAAGATTACTTAAACATTTCATTACTTTTCGAGCTGTGGCTGCATCGAGTCCTATTCATAAATGATATATAGGATTTTGTTTTTAGAAAAAATAATAGGAACCTGTAGTTGGCTCGTCGAGAAAAAATATTTTTGGTGCTAAAACGAGTTCCATGCCAATACATGCTCGTCTTCGTTCACCACCAGAAACGCCTCTAATAAAGTCCGTACCGATTAATGTATTAGCACATGATTCAAGTCCAAGATCAGAAATAATTTGTGCCACTCGTTCTGCACGCTCAACATGCGATACGTTACGAGGGAGGCGAATATTCGCTGAAAACATGAGATTTTCTCGTACAGTAAGTGTTTCAAAAATAATATCATCTTGAACAACATAGCCGACCATATACTTGAATGAACTGGGTGCTGGTGACCCATCGACGAAAATGTGACCAGATAAACCACGATGATCTTTACGATGAGCAAGAACATCAAGTAGAGAAGATTTACCACATCCTGTTGAACCTAAAAATATTCGAATATGTTGGATCAAATAAAGAAGCTATGTTTTCGAGTATGAATAGCACTATGACGATGAAAATTTACGGAGATTACCTTTCAGTGACAAATCGAATTAGTTCCGAGTAGCTATGGATAATTCATTTTTTCTTTCAACTGTTTTACTAAGAACTCTACATCAATCTACAGAATGCTTAGAGCTTTAAAAGAAATATACTCTGATTCTTACCCATAATTGCATGCATTCCTGTTCTAAAAATGCCAGATAGACCATGTAGAATTTGTTTGGCTGGTTTTGGTTTTAAAAACGATGGAAATATTGTTGGGCATTTTATTTTCAGTTTTCTTTCATTAGTAGTATAATTAATATCGTAAAATGAAATTTCACTCAATGACGAGGAGCCTGTTGAAGACTGGATGGGTTCATGATGACTACCTGACTGTAAACGCTGATATGAGTTGAGGTCTATATTATAAACAGAATGCTTTTGTGTTGAATAAGTGGTAGGTAAATTCATTTTGGCGTTGTTCCAACTATTATTGGAGCTTGAAATCGTCCGTCTAAATAGAATAGCTGCAGGTTTTGTGTTCCGTTCTTTCAACTATGCTTTTATCAGTAAAAACGAAATAAAAGTACTGTTGACACTCATTTGAACTCCTCGTAGGATATTCATGACATTGAGTGCTTTCGTTCGAGTAGTAGAAAGTGAAAAACTGAAAGTTTAGTGGCTCGGAATAGAGTCTAAGTGAATTCGAGAGTATCGGAAAGAATCTTCAAGTACCTTCGGATGATAACATTACCTCTAGATATGTAAGAACGTATCATACATTATCCTTCATCTATATTTTCTACAAATGTTTTTGATTGCAGGTCATTATATTTTTAAAAGCGTTTACCCTAATGTATTTTGTATGGTGGCCACCTCTTGATCTGCGGGGTTACGTTGACGTTGATTTTGAATGAATGTGTGCAGCATATTGTCTGAAAGAAACAATATCATTATCAGTTACTGTTCATAATCAAATCAGAGAAATTTTTAAAAAAAACTATCGGTTATTCTAAATGTTTTAGTCGCATAAGAACTCGTTAGCATAAAAAACACTACGTTGCAATTCTTGGTAAAATACTCATCGTCAGGGAGCACCGCATAATCTTATGCCGAGAAACAAGTGAGGAAACTTCGTTGCTGCATGAAGCAGTAGGACAAAGTCCACGTACTATGTTTGAACGAAGCGAAGACCTATATTCGCACCCAAGTCCTAGAGAGATGCTGTGATTAGCTAATATTCATCGATGGCATACCGTTATTTTTCGTCTGAAACAATTAACAGTCGCTTCTTTAAATAAAACATTTCTCACAACGATTCACTTTCATAACTATTCAAACAACAGTCAAAGAACTCTCGAATTCTTTCTATTCAAGAGAAATCGCATAATGAAAGTTATGAAAACATAAGCAGGTACTCTGTATCTCAAAGTGATATTACCTGGTATTCATGAGGAAAATTTTGAAAAAAAAGATATAACCAATCTCACCGTTTGTGTATTGTGAAATTTCTGCTTCGATTAATTTAAAAACATGAACAGAAATCGAATTTTATATATATTGTCTAGAGATACGATGAGAAAAAAACTAGGAACTAATATTTATCATAGTTTATTGACTCATGCATTGCGTCGTTGTCATGAACTATCTTTCAACTCTATCTGATTCGTTGAAGAGTATGTGCGCTTTGCCGCTTCACATATTTTCCGCATTTCAAGTAAATTATCATTTCTCGATACAGTGACGCAAGTGAAAAGAGGAAGAGAACACAAAGACAACAAGTGATCCAGTAGTCATAATGCAAACCACAAAGTCATGCTTTCTGTTGCTGTTCGTTCTAATAGCTATCACGATATTCATTAATTACGGAAGTTGTTCTGAATCGAGTGATTATCTATTAATATCACAATGCGTGTATCATAAATGTAGAACTTGCAGGATGGTATCAATCATAGCTGCTATTCTCTGGATAGTAAGAATAACTGCATGAGTAATCAGAAGCGACAAGCAACTTTTCGCCATGATAGCTACGATTGAAACATGTGAAAATAGTTAGACAGTTCAATATGTTTGAAGTTTATGATAAAACGTGAGAGATGGTGTTATCTTTGTTCTGATCAATAACATTATTGAGATGTTTTCTGTGATGAAAAAACACGTTTGCCATGACTATGGCTGTGACAATAATTTTTATGATGATTTTTATCTTTTATTTCGAAGAAGAATTCTGAGTGTCCTATTTTTGATAACAATAAATCAAATGAATGACACAAAATTAACACAGATTGATATCAATAACCATATTCGAGAAATCAGAAGAAGAATAATCTTGGATCAGACTGTAAATCGAGCAATTAAACATTATTGAGTCATAAGGCACGCCTTGTTATGTCGCCATCTATAGAAAAATTTTTTTAATTATTCCCTGTAAAAGTAATATTTTCGATAAACGATCAGCTATCATATATTAGTCATATATTATAACCATTAGATTTCAAAAAAAAACAGAAGGGAAACTGCCGTAATAAACTATTCGTACACAACTTGCTGATGTACATCGTTTCAAGTCAAAATTTAGTATTACTGAAGGAAATATGATTGTCTTTATTTCTAAAGACGAATTACAGATGAAAGAACATTTGAACATATGATTTCTAACTAGCATCAGTATTTTCTAGAATTAGTTTTTATTAATTCTCATCCACTACGAACAGAGGCACATACACCAATAAACTCTCGAGATGTATATGTTTCATAAAGTTTTGTTCCCGTACGAAATAAGAACATCTACATCAGCCGACTTCTAGTCGCTTTAACATAGATTACACTAATTGCTTGTTTTCAGGCTTTCAGTACCATATCAGATGTAGTAATTCTATTCCTATTCGCAAGAATGATTTTGTAATTAGAGGTAGGCATTTTTATTATTGTGAGATTTTAATCTCATTCACGCTTTCTACATGATTTTATTTACAAAATAAAGTAACATATAGATTGATGAGAAGAACTCGGAACTCCGATAAATTGATGAGAAGCAAAAAATCAATATAACGACATGAAAGGGAGAAGCCATCGAATAAAAACGAAAAAAAATCAGCGTTGCGTGACGCATGATTAAGAAACTAAACGTACATATGTTTTGGACCTATAATTAAAAATAAAAAGTATCTTGCGAATGCATCTGAGAAGAATTATACGTTGGATCAAATATGTTTTTCTCTTTGTGTTTAGCATCTAGTCAAACAAATTTTTACAGACATAAATAAAGATTGATTCTTTCGAACTATAAATATTTCACTATTATGTATTTCTCATCGTTGTCTCATGAAAAATAAATATCGATTTAATCTAGAATTTTGAAAAGAATAAAAAGGTCTCCTTTTTTATTTCTTTGGCTGAAATATTACGCAATTTTTTACAGTACTTCGTGCCGTGATATTTGCCTCAACTAATATGCAAGTAAAATACAGGGTTTACTGTCTTCACAGTGAAGATGCGCATAATTGAATAGTGTTCTTCTTTTTATAGATAAGTTCACGCAGATTTTAAGTAGACTTATATTAGGTCGAAATTCGCAGCGATATTTTCTGAAAAAATAGGAAGTCTAGGACACCGCAATATACAGGATATTGATTTCTATTAAAGCAAGGTTTCGAATCCTCTTAAAAGATATTAAAAAAAACATTCAATTCAAATTATTATATGCGTACACTTAGATATAAATATAAACAACGTTTATGAACAGTATAAAGATGAAATCTCGGTAAAAAAAGATGGGTGTTTCACACATTTGACTTTCAATCATTTGGTTATGCATCTGAAAGTGAATAAGAGCGAGATCTGTATTACATTTGCACTCCGATACGAAATTCTTCGATCAAGTTTTTGAAAGAAAGAGAGAATCTTTTTGCATTCGTTAGTTTTCATTGGCTTCTTCTGTTCGACAAAAGAAGCTTTGATAAAACTGAGTCAAAATAGAAATTTGAATTTTCACCAAAATTATGTTGGAAACGTTCAGGCTCTTATTTTTACGAGGCAAATAATAAAGGTGAGAGAATATATGCAGAAGGAGCAGAGCACTTTTCAAAAGAATATCTGACCGTTTTCACCAAAATAAAAGAATATAGGAAAAAACAAAATATAGACTATTCTAGGATCTATTTAAAAATACAGGAAATATAGCTGCACTGTAGAGTCAAATGTAAATAAACTAAAGTATTATTGTTGCCGTAAGAAATGTTTTGCATCTTCTCATTAGTAATCATTTAAAATAAAGCTTACAATATATAAACACAATCACAATCGCACTCATGCTATCAAGTATTTTCAAGATAAGATTCAATTGAAGACGATGTTTCGGAATATTTAAGCTATAACAAGAAAACTTGTTCAAAATCAAGAAAAAGTAACATGAGTTTATAATTTAGTTAACAAATTGCATCCGTCAATAGAGCCAAACAAATAATATATTCTTTAACAATTCAAGCACTTCTGAAAAAGATTAATTCTGAACAATAGTTCTTTTAAAAAGAATTGTTTATTTTTCATTATTAAAAATTTTATTTGACTTCAAATGAAAATAGCTTCGCCACTTAAAGTAGGCCGAGATATTGCAACTGATTAAGAAACTAACAAAAACTTGTTAAAGTTATCTGGTTTATAGTTTTTATTTTAGAACGCCTGCATCTGGAATATGATTACATCTTGGTTTTATTCAATAGTTCACAGAAAGAAAATATTATTTCATTCTTTGGGAAGCTGCAGTGGCTTGTCAGACTGTTGCTGGCTTCTTCGCTCGACTTCTTGCTTGATCAATGTTTGTTGAACATGCGTTGGAAGACCCGGATTCAAACTCAAGACGTAAGGCAATAATATTTTGGGTGTATCTTCGAAATCAACCAAAATTTTGATGAACATGGTATCATCTCGAACATACGGATTTCCCTCTTGTTGAATCGTTTCCAATGGAAAAAACTTCGGTATACCACTTGCAATGTTCATATCCGTTCGAGGTCTTTGAAAACTGTTCGATTTAATATCTGGTCGAAATGAATCGATAATATGTCGTTGTGCCGGTGTTTGATCGTATAAACAAAATGTGACTTTATAGTTGAACGGAAATTTCAAAATCTGATCGTTCAAGCTTCGCATGAGCACAAAAAACATGGACATATGTGTTCGACGAGCATTTCCATCACCATTTAAATAAAGACGAGCTCTCATTTTATAACCGTTTGGAGAAGAATAAAACGGAGGCGAGTAAATTGATGTTTGTCTTTCAGATTGTGCGTCCACTACGAAGAAAACAAAGACAATCTATACTGACATGTATCAATCTATTCGATTAAATACAAAACTGAAGCAGTATTAGTTAAATTATAAAGAGAACAACATGTAATCTTTTGATAAAGTATCCTATGTTTATTATTAAGAAAAGGAATATGTGTTGAACTTACTCATCTTCTCTTTGACATTGGTTATTTTCCAAATAAATATACCATCATATGAAACACACTGCAAATCATTGACCTTCTCTTGCAGTGATGTGAAATCTTGCTTGAGAATATCTAAATTGCAGTTAACTCCTTGTAAAAAACCATTTGATTCTTCTATTGAAAGTTTCAATCCTGGTAATTGCTCTTCAAGTGTTTGAAGTGTAATTTGCGCTTGAAGAGATTCATTGCTCAGACGTTGTGCATCATTTACCAATGCTTCGATGCCACCTGTTAAGACGTTAATTATGTCACGAAGTTCTTCAAATTGAATCGTATCAGGATCATAAGATTCTGTAGTTGTTCGAAGAAAGTCAATATCAATTCGTCTGTCGTTGTCATGTGATAACAATTGACGAATACATTTACTTATAGACTGTTGATGTTGTTCAGTCATATAATGCTCTTTTATATTAGCACGAATAATCTAAAGAAGATCAATTTTTCCATGGCACTTGGATCTGGAAAATTATTCATACTCGTTCATTACAACCAAAATCCTTCAGTAAGCATGCAACACTGATTTTCTGACAAGCAGAGACTTTGTGTTCATTGAAATTGTTAGTTGAGTTGAACTGCTCACCGCAATATTCACATGTCAGATTCGGATGAGATTGATCGAGATGATTCTATCAAATGAGAAATTCAACGATTGAAGAATAAACTGAATATAAAATCAATTACTTGATAGTTATCTAAGATACCATTCCATTGACACAAAAAACAAACAATTAGTAGTGTTCTCATCTCATTTTGAAAACCTCGATCAAGATGAACCTATATAAAATAAATATATTTTCTCTGTTTTTACCAAAAAGATACATTACTTCAGTTTTCAACATTTTTGTTTGACATTGTGCGCATGTGATTTCGCTTCTATAAAAATTAAAAATAGCAATGAATAATAATACTTCAATGTAATCAGGAAACTTACTGATGTTCATTAGGTAAACAAGTTTGACACTGTCGATGTCCACATCGCATGAATTGCACCGGATCTCGTAGTATCAACGCACACACACGACATATGTACTTGTTATCAAGTATATCCTTGTTCCTTGCATCGATGCCGACCATTATTGTAATAAAATTAATAGAATATGAACGCGGAACAATAGTTATTTAAAAAAATAATTTATTGTATAATTACTTTTCACGGGTCAATCTGTATACACACTAGATTCTTAAGAATTATCTGAATCGAAAAATAGATAAAAAATAGTTTTCCAAATAAGGAGATCTAATATACAATTTATCTAGAATTCAGAAATCAGTATTATTTAAGGATAATATCAAATATATGAAAATAAAAATTAGTAATATGTTAGAAAAAGTTCGATGCACTAATATTTGTGCCGAGTTTCGATTGATCTACACCTGCTATCATTGATTAAGACGAGTTGAACATGGTTGGTTGAAAAGTGAATTAAAGCTAATGCACCAATCGATAAAGAACTTGATGGACTAATTAGAATCTCGGACAGGGTCCAATGAGGTCGCTGTATATTATCGATAAATAGATATTTTATAAAGAACAGGAGGTGAAGTATAAAAATTACGAACTCTAGAATATTGAACGAAACTATAGTTGAAAGAAATAAGCTAGAAAAGTAGATATGTTGGTGACAAAGTTCGTCATTTGTCGTTATAATCATCAAAAAGAGACAGAAGCGACTTTTTCTTTACTGAACATATGCTAAGACCCCAAACAGACCAAAAAAATAACACAGAATTAAGCAACGTGATTGGTTAATTCACACTTAAGTCATCTTTTCGAGACGATTTAGTGGTTAATTCTGTTTTATCTTTTTGGTCTGTTTGGGGCCTAAGTTTATACATTCAGATTACATTATAGCAGTTACTTCTCCAATCTGATTGATGCATTAAACTTATAAGTGTAGACGCACGTAAATTTAATCTGAATTAATGCCGCATTATCTTTCAAGTGTAGACAAGGCCAATATGAGGTTTTACCGACATAGATTTTTGCCAGTCTTCATTTTTATCGATGACAATCTGTTGTATCAATTTTAAACATTCAATCAATTTTGATTCTTCTGATCTTTGAAAAATGTCATACAGTTCTGTCCTATATATTTGAACACTTCATACAGATAGGCTTTCAGCGAAAATGATCCACATGTACAAGATCACTGGAATGACGAAAGCACTGAGCAACTCAAGTTATTTCGTAATAGCATTACTCATTATACATACTGATAGATTTCATTGCGCCAATTGGATTTACCAACAAAGCGTTGTGATCTATGAAATTGTCTGTAAATGAAGATAGCGGAAGCGAGTACATATTTTTATCAAAAAAAGCTCAAAGGAGCATACGTTCTTCTCGTAGTGAAAAACTGCAGGAAGTAAGCTTCTTTGCGCTATATATGTATATATATGTTTGAAAATATTGCGCAAGTAGATGAAATTACCCAATCGTGATAAGGAAGAGTGTTAACATCAGTAGATGTCGTTAACTGTCCAGATCGTGGCGGTACGGCAGGAACCGACCGGAAAACACGGAAGATCGCTGGAAGGTGAAAGCAATATTCCGACCGGAAATTCCCAGATTTTTTCAGGTGGATTCCGGTCAACTTCCAATGCTTTCCGGCAGGCATCGACAGTAAATCATCGGGAAAAACTCCGAAAATTTTCCGAACGAAATACTGCGTCCAGTTTCCAGTGACTTCCTGTGTTTTCCTCCGGAATACGGTGATTTTTCAGCATCTTTCCGATTGGTTCCTACAGTATTCGGTGACCAGAACGATCGACCTCGGTGACACTAAACTGTTTACATAAGTTTATGTTTCTTTATAGTATCATTTGATCTATTTTGTCATTTGTCGGATAAACCTACTCATGTGACGTGATTAATTGTCTATTATATATGTTACAGTTTATATATGGGTGTGGGTGTGGGTGTGGGTGTGGGTGTGGGTGTGGGTGTGGGTGTAGGTGTGAGGGTGAGGGTGTATATAAGCGTGCATGTGTGAGTAACGAGAGGAACTACCCAGGTCGAACATTCCGGTCCCGAAAACGGCCGGTTCTGTGGTATTCCGGATATTTCATGGAAGCAGTATTCCGTTGAAAGGATCCGGTTCCGGCCGGAATCGACAGGAACCTGTCAAAACTGGTAGCCGGATTCCTGCATCGAATTCCGGACAATTCTCGGTGGGTTCCGGTAGGAAGCAGCGAGTTTCTTGCAGGTTTTAGCCGGAAATTCACGGAATACTGCTTCAGGAATCATTGTCCTGGGTATGTTTATATTCCCGCACCGAAGCGAGGTTTAGGATAATACCAACTCAAAATACGGGAAGAATTCAATTATTGTGGGAAAATTTTCATCTACACTATTGTGTCAGACTGACTGTTACATCATTAATCGATAGAATTGACCATGCTGGGACAATAGAATCAAAAGAAAAGAGAATGTTTTTAATGATGTGGAACCCATATAATCGAGAAAAAAACCCTTTTTCTCTAATAGTCAAGTGTAGAAACATTTTCCCCATTGGATTTGACCAATTTTTTGCAGTAGTTTCTGCTGTTAAAAGAATACGCCCCATTGCATATTGGTACGTCTATCAATCATTACGTTGGAAACTGTTTTTACCCTGATGACTTTATAACACACTAGATTCGTAATCGAACATGAAAATTACCACTGAATGAAAAGCTATTGGATTTTTCTGATTGAGACTTCGTATAAGTCATGGATCATTCCCTCGGGATGAATGAAAATTATCTCGGTAGTATTCTCAATGGTTAAAAGCATATATCGGAACATTAATAGTAATAATTGAGTACATGCAGCACACTAATACTTGTTCGGTGTAAACGTAAGGTAAAGAGGAATACTATA